TGACCTCCGTTTTTGTATGATGGATGCATTAGCGGACATTGGTCGCTTGCGAGCCACGTCAGCAGGCAGCATTCTCTCATGTGCTCCCAGCGTCCGCGGCAGCCGAAGCATTGCCAGATCCGGCTCACAATCCTTCACTCCGTTCCGTATGCCTGGTGGTAACCCTCTGGTGCTTTCGTCCCGCCGTTTTTGCTCGCCTTCAAGCTCTCGTACGCGATCGTCGCCGTCGTCGCATGCGGATCGCCGGCTCCCTCTGTGCGACCGGCGAACGTCGCTTCTCGGCCAGCGACTGCCGTGCGACGGAAGTCGCACAACGACGTCCATGCGAGTGCGATCGCGGAAGAGCAGACGTGGAGACGACAGACATACAACCGAGGGGGGAGGAGTGACACGTGGCACGCCCTCATTGGTCTGCTCGTCCAAGGTGGACGATGTGCCGCATCTGTCCGAGTGGATTCCTAACCTCGAGGTAATGTACGCCACGTGGCATTCCCTTCACGTGCCAATTGTCAGGTTGTGCGTCTGACAGAATCTGATGTTTCAACGGCGAGTGTGCATCGGACTCTCAGATACCTATTAATACCTAATAATATTCGTTGATTCATGTGTGACCGCAGACGTACAGCAATCCACTTGCACTCAATCCAGCATACGCCTACGTTGAGTAAGTTCCTGTCGCGCTACCCACTCTGCTACCTTCTGCTCCTGCCATTTGCAACTCAATGAGCTGTTATGCGTCAAGCTATAGGCCACTGATTTGATTTCAGGCAATTATGCATGTAGGCACTGGTTGTGCTCTTGCCCTGATGCATCTAAACAGAAATTGTGTATTCAAGCATTACTTGTGCATTCAAATATTGAGTGTGCGTTCAAGCATTGCCTCTGCATTCCCTGCGAGCACCGGTTATTACTCGACTCCGAGCACACATCCTCCTCCCCCCACCCCCTTTTTTCCCGATGTGCCCCTGTATCTTGTCTACCAACACAACACCATCAACACCACACACACACACACTCTTATACTGGCTGCACCACAGTCAGTATTTTGTGGAGCCTAACGACATGGTGTGCCAGCAGGTGAGCTGTTCTCCCTCTCACGCCCTGAAAACGGGTGTACCTGGAGTTGAGTTGAGCTGAGTTGAGTTGAGTTGAGTTGAGTTGAGCCCCTCATGCTGGCTCAACTTGCCCCTTTCGTTTTGCCCCTCAAGTTGCTCCAAGGTCCTTTTGTGCGCCCGCTCGCTCCCTTTCGTTTTGTCCCTCTTGCGCACGCGCCTGCTCCTGTTCTCCATTCTGCATTCTTCTCTATCGATCATTGCTTTTGCTGTACTGCTCCTTTCCTATCCCTCTTCCCCCCTTGCATCCCCCCGTCGCAGGTGTCAGCCCGTCTGTTTGATCTGGACAGAATCAGCTACTTCCGCAGAGCAGGTGTGTCCCCCCTCCTCCCTCCCTCACCCTTCTGTGTCCCCCCTCCTCCAACCATCGCCTTCTGTGTTTCCCATCCCCATCGCAGGTGTCGGCCCGTCTGTCTGATCTGGACAGGATCAGCTACTTCCGCCGAGCAGGACCCAGGGAGAGAGTACGTAGAGGGCGCAATTTGGGGCTGGGCGCAATTTGGGGCTGGGCGCAATTTGGGGCTGGGCGCAATTTGGGGCTGGGCGCAATTTGGATTTTGAGGCATGGGCTCTAGCATGCACTCTCCTCTCCTGTGCCCCCTGATTGCTGTGCTCTCTGCTGTGTCACCATTCCCGTCTAAGACACTGGGTTGATTGATGTTGCATGCCGTGTGTGGGGTGGCCATGCGTTGGATGGAGTGTTGTGGCATGGCACGACATGGATGGCATATGATGGATGGTGTGTTTTCTTTACTGCGCGGCATGGCATGGTGTGGTGTGGTGTGGTGCTGTATGGTGTGGAATGGCATGGCGTGGCGTGGCATTGTGGCATCGTATGTATCCCATGCTGCTGGGTGGCATGGCATGACATGTGGCTTGGTGCTGCATGTGGCCTGGCATGGCATGGCTTGGCATGGCATGGCTTGGCATGGCATGTGATTTGGTGTTTCTTGTCGCATGGCATGGCATGGCATGGCAGATCGTGTACCATCCGCGGGAGGTGCGGGCAGCCATAGTGACATGTGGGGGGCTGTGCCCGGGACTCAACACTGTGATCCGCGAGATCGTGTGGGGGCTCTGGTTCCAGTACGGCGCGCGACACATCCTGGGAATTGATGTGAGTGAGTTAGTAGGGCACACAGGCATGTGGGAACTATGTGCATACATGTGGGGGACTGTGCCCGGGACTCAACACTGTCATTCGCGAGATAGTGTGGGGGCTCTGGTTCCAGTATGGTGCTCGGCACATCCTGGGCATCGATGTGAGTGGCTAGTAGGGAACACATGCAGGTGGAAAGCACGTGCACACATGTGGGGGGGAGCCTGTGCCCGGGACTCAACACTGTCATCCGAGAAATAGTGTGGGGGCTCTGGTTCCAGTATGGTGCTCGGCACATTCTCGGCATTGATGTGAGTGACTTAGTAGGGAACATATGCATGTGGGAAGCATGTGCATACATGTGGGGGGCTGTGCCCGGGACTCAACACTGTGATTCGCGAGATAGTGTGGGGGCTCTGGTTCCAGTATGGTGCGAGGCACATTCTTGGCATTGATGTGAGTGGCTTAGTAGGGCATCAGGCACATGAAAATCCTTCGGGGAGCACGTGGGAAGCACGTGGGTGGGAGCACGTGTGAGCACGTGATGAGTCATACCCACGCAACATACGTGCCGGATAGTGAACAGCACTCGTGCATAAGCTTACTTGCCCAACCAATCTTCTCCCCGGCCTCCCTTTTCCCCCAGACTCCCCCCCTCACTGCACCCTCTTCCTCCTTTTTCGCGTACAGGCCCTGAATGGGGCTGGGCCCCCGGATCCCCTCCTCCTATCACATGCACAGGTCGGGTACAGGGGCTTCTTCTCGCGCAACCTAATGGAGCTGAGCCCGAACCCTTGGGATGGTGAATGACATGCACACGCCCTCCCTCCACCCCCCCAACCCCCCCACCCCACCCCTCCTCCCTATATTATACGCCACACACAGGGCGGGTACCGCGGGTTCTACTCGCGCAACCTCATGGAGCTGAGCCCGAACCCATGGGATACTGAACTGCCTTTCTGCACACACCCTCCCAACTGTTCTCTCCCTGCCACCTCCCCCTCACTCCACCCCCTATTGACACATCACATGCACAGGGCGGGTACCGTGGTTTCTACTCGCGGAATCTGATGGAGCTGAACCCGTGGGTGATCAACGACATTCACAAGCGCGGAGGCACCTTCCTGTACTTCCCGCGGCGGGCATGATACCACCCGGATTGTCAACTCGATTGAAGATAGAGGCATCAACCAGGTGAGGTATCAACCAGGTGAGGTATCAACCAGGTGAGGTATCAACCAGGTGAGGTATCAACCAGGTGAGGTATCAACCAGGTGAGGTATCAACCAGGTGAGGTATCAACCAGGTGTGAGGTATCAACCAGGTGAGGTATCAACCAGGTGAGGTGGTAACTGGGTGAGGTGGTAACTGGGTGAGGTGTTGACTGGGCTGGGTGAGGCATCAAGCAGGTGAGGCATCAACCAGGTGAGGTGGTAACTGGGTGAGGTGTTCACAGCACAAGTCATACCACACTCATGTGCACAAGGCATACGCTCATTTTCGACCCAAACATACACTCAGTTTATCCAAGCCCTGACCACACGTGCGCCCATGGCATGGCCTGGCATGGCATGGCATGGCATGGCATGGCATGGCATGGCAGGTGTTCATCATCGGGGGCGATGGCACACAGCGAGGGGCTGAGCTCATCTATGAGGTAGGCTGTGCAGGCAGGTGGCAGGCAGGTGGCAGGCAGGCTTGCACGCAGGCTTCCACGCAGGCAGTGGGGCAGGCAGGCAGGGGGGCGGGCAGGCAGGCAGGCAGGCGGGCGGGGGGAGGGAGGGGGGGGCACACGGGCAGCAAGCAGGCAGGGGGCTGGCATTTTGGCGGGATGATGGTAAAAGGGGAGGGAAGGGCACCGTTGCATGCATTTCGCACAGTTGATTATCTTTTCTAGTCGCCCCGTCATTGACTCCTCTCCTCTCCATCGCCGATCGCTCGTTGCCCGTCCCTCCCTTCCCCTTCTCATTCCCTCCCTTCCCCTTCTCCTTCTCCCTCTTCTCCCTCCATTCCCCGTTCCTGGGCTCGACATTCCACTGCTGCCCGTGATCTCACTATGCACCATGCTGGGTGGGTGGTGGTGCAGGAGACGAGGAGGAGGGGCTTGAAGGTGGCCGTGGCTGGCATTCCCAAGACCATCGACAACGACATTGCTGTGAGTTGCTGCTCTCACCACAAGGATAGCAAGGGGGGCAAAAGGGGCAAGAAGAGGAGCACAGCGGCCAATGGGAGCAAGATGCGGGGGCAGGGAGTGGGGGGGAGTGGGGGGGGGGGAGTGGGGGGGGGGGGGGAGTGGGGGGGGGGGAAGTGGGGGCAGGATGGCGGTAAGGAGTGGGGGAATGAGGGGTCCAAGGGGCGGGTGGGAGCAAGGCGGGCTAAGGGGGCAAGAGTAGCAAGGTGGAGAGAAGGGGCAAGGGTCCTGGCAAGTTGTCCACCTGCTCCCCAACCCTCCCTCCAGTCCCGTCCCCCAATCCCTGTCATTTACTTGTCCCATTAGGTAAATGACTTTTCGTTCGGGTTTGACACGGCGGTGGAGGAGGCACAGAGGGCCATTACTGCTCCCTCGCTTCCGTTCCTTCTTCATCCACCCCCTGCTTCACGCCCCATCAGATTATCGACCGCTCATTCGGGTTTGACACGGCAGTGGAGGAGGCGCAGAGGGCCATCAACGCTCCTCCCTTCACCCCTGCTTCCTGTTCTCCCGTCCCCTCTATCCCATCAGATAATCGACCGCTCATTCGGGTTTGACACGGCGGTGGAGGAGGCACAGAGGGCCATCAACGCGGCGCATGTGGAGGAGGAGAGCACAGCAAGCCACCAACGATCCTCCCCCCTCCCCTACCCCCTTCCCTCCCCTCTTCTTCGTACCCCATCAGATAATCGACCGCTCATTCGGGTTTGACACGGCGGTGGAGGAGGCACAGAGGGCCATCAACGCTCCCCCCTTACCCCTGCTTCTTATTCACCCGTCCCCTCTATCCCATCAGATTATCGATCGCTCATTTGGGTTTGACACAGCAGTGGAGGAGGCGCAGCGGGCCATCAACGCGGCACACGTGGAGGCGGAGAGCACTCGCAACGGCGTGGGGCTGGTGAAGGTCATGGGGCGCTACTGCGGGCAGATCGCCATGCACGCCACACTTGCGAGCAGGGATGTGGTATGTGTGTGGGCATGCTTTGGTCATGCTATGCTGCAACACTACAAGCACACCACGCGCAATGCAATGGCACGTGGGGTTGGTGAAGCTCATGCGGCGGCACTGCGGGCAGATCACCATGCACGCCACTCTCTCGCTCGCAGGGACGTGGTATGTGCTGTATGTTCTGCATGTGCGTGGGCATCGTTTCTGCTGGCTCCCTCATTGAATCGGCACGCCACTCGTGAGCCTGCCATTGCTGGTGAAGCTATGGAGCCGATTGCCATGCATGGTGAGCTGTACTGCGGCCAGATCGCCATGCATGCCACTCTCTCGCCAGCCCCTACCCACCTCTCCCTCCTCCCACCACTTCTTCCCTCCACTTCTCCCCCACCACCTCTTCCTCCCTCCACGGTCCACCTTTCCCTTCCCGCAACTATCTCCCCCACCGCTCTTCGTTTGCAGGACTGCTGCCTGATCCCCGAGGTGCCCTTCTACGTGGAGGAGCTGTTTGACTGCCGTTTGCTCCATGAAACCCCCCATCCTATTTTCCCAACCCCCATTTCCCCCAACAACACGCCCACAGGACTGCTGCCTGATTCCCGAAGTGCCTTTCCACCTGGAGGGCCCGGGCGGGCTGTTTGACTTCATGGAGCGGCGGCTGTACGAGAACGAGCACTGCGTGCTGGTCGTGGCGGAGGGCGCAGGGCAGGAGAACATGGCGCGGCACTACAGCCCACTTCCCCCGCCTCCCCCCTTCCTCTTCCCCGCCCGCTCTCCTCCCATTCCGCTCCCTATCCCCCACAGCACCTCCACACAAACCTTCCTACCTTCCCATCCCCACTGCCTCTCGCCCACAGGACTGCTGCCTGATTCCGGAAGTACCATTCCACCTGGAGGGCCCCGGCGGGCTGTTTGACTTTATTGATCGGCGGCTGTACGAGAACGAGCACTGCGTGCTGGTCGTGGCGGAGGGAGCAGGGCAGGAGAACATGACCCCCTCTCTCTCCCCTTACCCCATGCCCCTCTCCTCCCTGGTGTGTAGGACTGCTGCCTGATCCCAGAAGTGCCATTCCACCTGGAAGGCCCGGGCGGGCTGTTTGACTTCATGGAGCGGCGGCTGTACGAGAACGAGCACTGCGTGTTGGTCGTGGCGGAGGGCGCGGGGCAGGAGAACATGGCGCGGCACTACAGCGCGAGCGATGATGACGTTGCTGGTGCTGGGGTGCTGGGCCGCGACGCGTCGGGGAATGCGAAGCTGATGGACGTGGGGCTGTGGCTGTCGGGGCAGATCAAGAGCCACTTTGCAAGGCAGCGCAAGGAGATTCAGCTTAAATACATCGGTGCGTGTGTGTGTGTGTGGGCAAGTGGTTGAATAGGTGCATCCATGGGTGGTGCTGGGGTGCTGGGGCGCGATGCGTCTGAGAATGCAAAGCTGATGGACGTGGGGCTGTGGCTTTCGGGGCAGATCAAGAGCCACTTCGCGAGGCAGAGAAAGGAGATTCAGTTGAAGTATATCGGTGCGTGCGTGGGTGGATGTGCGGGTGGTTCAGAGGGTGTGTGGGTAAGCTGATGGACTTGGGGCTGTGGCTGTCGGGGCAGATCAAGAGCCACTTCGCGAGGCAGAGAAAGGAGATTCAGCTCAAGTACATCGGTGCGTGGGTGGGTGCGAAGGTGGTTGAATGAATGCATGGGCGCGTGTGTGGATGGGCGCGGGGCAGGAGAACATGGCGCGGCACTACAGCGCGAGCGATGACGATGTTGCTGGCGCTGGGGTGCTGGGCCGCGATGCGTCTGGGAATGCGAAGCTGATGGACGTGGGGCTGTGGCTGTCGGGGCAGATCAAGAGCCACTTCGCGAGGCAGCGCAAGGAGATTCAGCTCAAATACATCGGTGCGTTCGTGGGTGTATCTGTGGGTGGGTGGGTGGGTGGGTGGATGGATGGTTAAAAGGGCGAATGATGATTTACACCATGCCTATCGACCGTCCTCTCTCCTGCTCCCACCCACCGTACCCAAGCATACATCTTCCACACCATCCCTTTGGTGTCTGAGGCCCTTTGGGAATCACCCCTGCCCCCCTCCCGGCCCCATCTCCCCTCCCACTCCCTCCCCCTCTCCATCTCCCCTCCTTTGTGCATCAGACCCAACATACATGATCCGAGCCATCCCCGCGAATGCGAGTGACAACATCTACTGCACGCTGCTGGCGCACGGGGCAGTGCACGGAGTCATGGCGGGCTACACGGGATTCATTGTCGGACCCGTTAACAACCGCCACTGCTACATCCCCGTCAATGTCAGTGCACTCCCTCACTCCCTCCCACTCCTTCACTCCCCTCCCTTGTCACCTCACTCACTTCATTGTCGGCCCCGACAACAACTGCCACTGCTACAACCCCTTCAATGTCAGCGCACTCCCTCATTCCCTCCCTCCCTCCCATGTCACCGCACTCACTCCATCCCGCCCTCCCTCCCATGTCACCTCACTCACTCCCATCCTCACTCACTTCATTGTGGGCCCCCTCAATAACCGCCACTGCCATCCCCGTCCATATCAGCGCACTCCCGCCTTCCCCCTCCCACTCCCACGTCGCCTCACTCACTCCCCTTCCACTCACACAAAGCCACTTCTTGCGAAGCTCTTTGCGATTTCGCTTCCCGTCCAGACTGGTCCCGGAAGCCTCTGCATGCCCTCCCCGGTTCTGCTTTCTTTCCCGAGTTTCTTCCTTGCATTTCTCCCATCCAATGCTCTCGCATCTATCATAACACTATCTCTTCCTCTCTATTGTAATAGCATGTTCTCACCCCACTTCTGTCCCTTATGCTCCCTCAATTCTCCCCCCCTCCCCCCCCCCCCTCCCCCCCTCTTTCTTCCCCGCACCAGAAGGTGACACAGAAGCCCAACAGCATCTCCCTCACTGACCGCATGTGGGCCCGCCTCCTCGCCTCCACCTCACAGCCCTCCTTCCTCCGTATCGACCCCACCGCCACCACGGCTACCACCACCACCGCCACCACAGCCTCTTCTGCTAGTGCTGACGGTGCTGCTGCTGGGCTTTCCCAGACGGCAGCAGGAGGGGGTTTGATTGAGGGGGAGTATGGGGAGAATGTCCTGGGGGATGTGGGGTTGGCTGCGAATTATGCTCGGGACGAGGAGGATGATGGTGCAGGGGTGGTGAGGAGTGTGCTGGAGGAGCTGGGGGAGGACATGGGGATGGATGAGCTGGAGGCAGTGAATGGATTGAAGGGGTATGCGGCTTCACATGCGGCTGCGTTTGAAACGGATGATGAGGTGGCAAAGGACGCTGGGGATGGAGTGGAGGAGGGTTTACAGAAATGACGAAGTGGTTTGAGGAAAAACTCGTAGAATACTATTTGTTTATAGTAAAGGGTAAGTATGCTAAGAGGAAACTAGAGCTACCTGATGTATCTGTATGTCTATGGATCGTTCCCAAGTAATTTAACTGCTCTCACTGTACAGAGGTGTCGATAGCTACACTTCACTCTAACGGGGTCCCTGCTGCGTTGGCATTCCGCCTTCGGGGATGCTCCTCCAGGCGGCATTGGTGAACATCCAACCCAACTTCGAAGAGCCAGCATTGAAGTGCCAGCGAGTCAGACAGACCCAGCTGGCCCTCCGCTTGTAGTCCCCCAGTCCCCGGCAATCCCTCCCCCCAGCCTCCCGCAATGCCACTCTTGGCTCCACTGTTCCCCCAGCTGTCCCCCGTGACCTCGAAACCTGATACGATCTGATGATCTCATCATCTTGAGGTTGCTCATTAACTACCCAACCGCACAACAAGTTTCTGGAAAGCGTTAGAGCATGAGTTACTGTACTGCACCGCATAAAAACTAACGTCCCGTATCATGCCATCTCAGAATTCCTCCGCTCCCCTTACGTTCCGCTCCCTACATTCAACTCCCGTTATTGTGGTGGCGGTCATTTCTCCCTCGGTTCTGCTGGGTGACCAGCTGACTGGTCACTTCACTGGCGGTCACTTCTGTACGAGGACCCTATCTCTCCAGCCCGGGCCCTACCAGTAACGACCTTCCCCTAATCCCACCACTTTCCACCTTTTTCTAACCCACTGAAACTCAGATCACCACGACTTGCGACTCGCAGTGTCGCAGCACCCCTCGTGCTCATGATTGTCTTTTTGACTCGGGTCGGAAGTCGGGACGCTCTGACAGTTCCAGTTTTTGTCAACTAAAGCAGTCGTACGATTTTCGTTCTTTCAGGCTCAATTACCTATTGTTGGACTGGACAGCTACCTTTAATCGACCTGCTGTACTAGCCCGTACCGACCTCTCGTTATAGAGGTTTAGGCTGTTGCGGCTCTTGCATGACGACTCAAGTTAGCGAAGATTAGGGTTAGTACGTAGTCATTGCTTCCACACTCCAACTGCCATATTTCGAGTCCCTTCGCTCTCAATTCGTCGACTTGGCCATGACTTTAGGATAAAAATACCAGTGTTATTTCTGGATGGCAATGCATTAGCATATTATACAGAAACGCTCGACTTAGGGATAATGCGGTGTCAGTGGGGTAGTCGAAAGAAATTATAAGCAGCTTTCCTATCAATAATGCGGTATCAATCAAATAAATCGAGACAGGTACTGCCGCGGATGAAATCGCAATAACAGGCGAAGGCGGGAAGGAGGGAGGGGGAAGGAGGGTGAGGCATGAGCGCGAGCGGCACGAGCACGCCGGGATGGGTGGGGTCGGGGTGCGAGCGCGTGGTGGTGGGCGTGGGGAAGGACCCGTGCAGCAAGGACGCGATCCGATGGGCGATTGCGAACAGATTGCGACACCCCGACGACATGCTCATTCTGTTACATGTGGTTACCAAAGTTCCCACCCATCAGAGTAAGCCTCTCTCTGCTCACCGTTAGGGATTGTCCGCTTCCGGAACCTCTGTCAATCTGACAATGAGAATTTCCTTTCACAGTGTCATGGTACCCAAGGCGTGTCGACATGATCCTTCTGAAACCCGTCGTTCCTGCATAGCTGTTCGCATTTCGGCTTGCTTGGGTTCACTGACTTGTTAAGTCGACTCGAACGTCAAAGTTACGTGTCAGCTGGCTTGAGATCGACTCGAGTATCCCGAGCAACTCCGCTCCTTGGTCTCTCGCTCGCGTCTCGTTTCTCACACCTATCTGCTGTTCCCGTGTTTGCTCGCGTGCATGCATGCATGGCTCGCATCCATGGCCTGGCATGGCTCGCATCCGTGGCATTGCATGGCTCGCATCCATATGGCGTGCGCGTGTGCATGTGTGCGTGCATGTATGCGTGCAAGCGCTCTTCCATGTGAGCGTGGCATGGATTGGTGCGCGCGAGCATGGGTGCGTGCATGCGTGGGTGCACTGGTGCGTGGGTGTGTGCATGCATGGTGCATGGGTGAATGCATGGCCGGAGCAGAGGTGGAGATGTATCAGAGCGACGTGAACAACACGACATTCGTGCACTACGTGCGCACAGTGGTGCAACCCATGATGATCGAGCTCAAGGGCATGGTCGACTCAAAGGTGAGCCCGCACCACCCCGTGATGATCTCAAGCTGAGTTTCATGTTGCCGCTCGACATTGCTGTAGCACCCCGGGATACTGCTGCAGGACGGACGTTCATGCTGGTGTTGGTTTTGGGAGTTTCCAGATGTCTCTTATTGCTGTTGTGTAGGGCGGGCGGTTCTCTAGAAGATGGGGTTTGTGAGGGCGAGACGACGAAGATAACGCTGATGGTGGTCGTTCCTCCTCTGTGTGTGTGTGTGTGAGGGGGGAGAGGGAGGGGGGGGGGAGAGGGTGTGCGTGTGGGTGCATGCGTGCGTGTGCGTGCGCGCGCGCTCGTGCGCGCGTGTGTGTGTGTCTGTGTGTGCGCATGGTGCATGGTGCATGGTGCATGGCGCATGGTGCATGGCGCATGGCGCATGGTGCATGGCGCATGGCGCATGGCGCATGGTTCATGGTGCATGGTGCATGGAGCATGGTGCATGGTGCATGGTGCATGGCGCATGGTGCATGGTGCATGGCACATGGTGCATGGTGCATGGTGCATGGTGCATGGCGCATGGTGCATGGTTCATGGTGCATGGTGCATGGTGCATGGTGCATGGCGCATGGTGCATGGCGCATGGTGCATGGTGCATGGTGCATGGTGCATGGTGCATGGTGAATGTGCACATGGCGCATGGTGCATGGCACATGGTGCATGGTGCATGGCACATGGTGCATGATGCATGGCGCATGGCACATGGTGCATGGTGCATGGTGCATGGCGCATGGTGCATGGTGCATGGCACATGGTGCGAGGCAGATAAAGCTGGAGTTGAAGGTGGGGCGGAACAACAGCAAGGAGAAGGGCATCGTGGACGAGTCCAGGAAGCTCAAGGCCACCACACTCGTCGTCGGCACCAGCTCAAGAGGAATCTTTGGCATGTACGTGCGTGCGTGCGTGTATGCATGTGTGCATGAAAGTACATACACTTGAGCTGCGCCTCTCTGTTCCATAGGGGCCAGCCTTGTACAGTGCATACAAGGCAGCTCCGGGTCACCACGTTCGGCATCGGCACCAGAGCGGCCGGCATCTTTGGCATGTGTGCATGTGTGCATGCGTGCATGTGTGCATGTGTGCATGTGTGTCTGTGTGTGCACACATGCACACTGGCGTGTGTACTGCCTGAAGAACCGTCCCCCCACAATGTCTGTCTACGTGGTGCTAAAGGACAAAGTCACCGCGTGCAGAGAGGCCCACTCGCTGCCTTCCTCCTCTGCTCTCACCAGCCAGCCCTGGCCACCTGCTGGTGGCATCGGCACCGTCCCCCCACAGTGTCTGTCTATGTGGTGCTAAAGAGCAAATTCACGTGCAGAGGGGGCGAGTGAGCGATAGAGCGAGAACTCGAACCCACCTTCACCCACCGCCTCCCCCAAACCTCTCTCGCCCACCTTTCCAACCCCACTCCCCCTTTTCGGTTCCAGTCGTGGACGCACAGGTGTGGGGGCATATTGCATGAAGAACCGCCCGCCCACAGTGTCCGTCTACGTGGTGCTAAAGGACAAAGTCACCGCATGCAGGGAGAGCGAGAGATCAAGTTTGAGACCACTTTCACCCACCCCACCCCACTACCTCCTCTCTGTTTCCCAGCCGTGGCCGCACAGGTGTGGGCGCATATTGCATGAAGAACCGCCCGCCAACAGTATCCGTCTACGTGGTGCTAAAGGACAAGGTCACCGCGTGCAGAGAGGCCGACGCCCTGCCCGCGTCCTCCTCCTCCGCACCCACCAGCCCCTCCCACACAGCTCACCGTCTTTCCCACCTTCTCCCCCACCCTTCCCCCACCTCTCTCCCCATCCCCATCCCTCCTTTCCAGTCGTGGCCGCACAGGCGTGGGGGCATATTGCATGAAGAACCGGCCCCCCACAGTGTCTGTCTACGTGGTGCTAAAGGACAAAGTCACCGCATGCAGAGAGGCAGACTCCCTGCCGGCCTCCTCCTCCTCCGCGCCCACCAGCCCCGGGCACATGCTGGTGGCGTCATCAACACAGTTCCGCCACAGCCCCTCCATGTCCGCGCACCACCCCCACTCCGACCGCTCCTCCACTCACAGCTCCTCGGGGGTGCTGGAGCCCACCGACGGCCTCGCGTTTGATGATGCAGGTGGGTGGGTGGGGATTCTTTGGTGGCAATCAGTGTCAGTCAGTTTCAGTCAGTTTCAGTCAGTTTCAGTCAGTGTCAGTCAGTGTCCGCGCACCACCACTCAGACCGCTCCTCCACTCACAGCTCACTCCTCCCCACTCAAAGGTGTTGTGTTGGAGCCCACTGACGGCCTCTCGTTTGATGATGCAGGTGGGGATGAGGACGCCGCGAGAACCAATGGCGCCACCAGTCCCACGCCCCACACCGCCCCACAGCCCTCCCGAGCCGGCACCTGGCCGCATCATGACGCTGCTGCCCCTACCACGCCTGACGGCTTGCCCGGCTTCCAACCCTACTCGCCAGGCTTGGCCGTACCTCACAGCATGCCCGGGGCGTCCCCGGTTCGGTATCCTGGGGACGGGGGCGATCTAGACAGCATGGTTCAGATGAAAATGCAGCAGCTGCAGCTGCAGAACCAGCAGCAGATGCTGCTACTACAGCAGCAGCAGCAGCTTCAGCAGCAGCAGCAGATGCAGCAGATACAGCTACAGCAGGTGCAGCAGCGGCTACAGCGGGACTACCTAGCAGAAGTAGACGCGTGGAGGAGGGCCAACCCACAGGCAATCCCAGAGCAGCAGCAGGCTTTCATGGCTGATTTAGAGGCCCGTATGGCCCATGCCACAGCAGCCCTCGCGGGCCTGCCTCTCCCTGACTCCGCCGCTACTGCTGCTGCTGCTGCTGCTGCTGCTGTTGCCAGACGAGGAGGTGGTAACCAGCTGGCAGGGTCCGAGCCTGAGGGCTCGCCTCGGGTTGCCGTGGCACAGGGAGTGGCTCGGGAGGCGGAGGCAGCTGCGAGGATCGGGCAGATTGCTGTAGACGCGGAGAGGGCGCGGGCAGCCGCGGAAGAGGGGAGGAGGGCCGCGGAAGAGGAGGTGGGGAGGCGAGAGGGGAGGGGAGAGGAGGCGGAGAAGGGGCCTGCTGGTGGAGGGGGAGTGGTTGGGGGAGGGGAAGCGGTGGCGCCGATTGTGCGGCGGGTGCATCACTACAGGGAATACTCGTATGAAGAAATCCTGGTGCGTTGCTGCGGCTGTGGCACTGTGTACAACTGTGTACTCTGACACACTGCACCACACGCCCTGCTCCCTCTTCAGCCTCCCTGACCATTTCTGAGTCTCCCCCTCCCCCCCGTGCTCTCCCCCCTCTGCGGTCCTCACACCCCTCACACCCCCCTCACACCCCCCTCACACCCCTCACACCCCCCTCACACCCCCCCCACACACCCCCCTCACACCCCTCACACCCCCCTCACACCCCTCACACCCCTCTCACACCCCTCACTCCCCTCTCACACCCCTCACACCCCACCCCTCCTGTGCCTCCCCCATCTGCCTCCCCCACAGGCGTCTCTCTCCCCCACCAGCTGCATCCGCCTCCCCCCTCCTGTGCCTCCCCCCTCGTGCGCCTCCTCTCGGGGGTCTCTCTATCCCCCCCCCAACACACCAAGCAGGCAGCGACGGACAATTTCAGTGCATCGCGAAAGCTGGGCGAGGGGGGGTTCGGCACCGTGTACTCGGGCACACTGCACCACACACCCTGCTCCCTGCCTGGCCCCCTCCTTCCTTCTGTCTGAACACCTCCCCCCGTGTCCTCCCTCCCTCCCCCTTGCACCACCCCATCTGTTCTTCCCCTCTCCCTTCCCCTCAACCTGTACCTCACCTGACCACCTTCGTCTGACTCTTCTCCCACCCTCCCGCGCACCAAGCAGGCCGCGACGGACAACTTCAGTGCATCGCGCAAGCTGGGCGAGGGGGGCTTTGGCACCGTGTACTCGGGCACACTGCACCACACGCGCTGCTCCCTCTTCTTCCCCACTCTCCCCCAACAAATCCTGTTCATTCATTCCCCCCTGTCCTCCCACTTTTGTGCGCTCCCCCTGTGCCTCCCCTTCTGCGCCTACTCCCCTTTGTTCCCTGTGCCTCCTCCCTCTCTGTGGTTCGCCGCCTCTCCTTCCCATCCCGCGCACCAACCAGGCCGCGACGGACAACTTCAGTGCGGAGCGCAAGCTGGGCGAGGGGGGGTTTGGCACCGTGTACTCGGGCACACTGCACCACACGCCCGTGGCAGTGAAGCTGCTCAAGAGCAAGGACTCCATCCAGGCCATGGCGGAATTCCAGCAGGAGGTGCGTTGCTGCTGCCCTCCCCTCCCCTCCCCTCCCCTCCCCTCCCCTCCGCTGCTTCCATGTCGCTTCTGAGTTGACTCAGTCTCATGTCTCCCGCCCCCGTTCCTGTGAGAAGAAAAGTTAGAAGAGAAGTTGATGTTGGATTGAGGAGAATGGGGGTTTACATAGGGAATGGGTTGGATCCTAGCCTAGGTGACCATTATTGGACCCCACCCATGAAGTTGGGTTGGGGGATTATTGGTGGGGTCCAATAATGTTGGCCAAGTTGGGGTTGGGCCAACATTATTGGTGTGAACCAATAATTCTACCCAACCCAACCTTTGGGGTCCAATAATTGGACCAAGGTTGGGTTTCCAACCTACAAATTGGGTAACCCCTGCTTGTACACCCAAACTAAGTTTGGGTGCTTATCTCTAGCCTATCCTATAACATCTATGCAGGTTACAAGAGAAGATAGATTCTAACACAACCCCTTAACCTGCAGAGATGTGGAAAGGCTTGAGTGAAGCAACCCCTGAATCAAGGCGCGCCCGGGGGAGCGAGGCCGATGAGGCGGAGAAGAGCAGAGTGCGCAGGGCGAAGAAGTGCTTTGGTGAAGATATCTGCCAGGTTGGCTTCAGCGGCGATCTTGCGAACGGCGATGAGATTCTGTTGGACGAGTTCACGGATGAAGAAATAGCGGAGCTCAATGTGCTTGGAGCGACCGTGAAAAACGGGGTCTTGGGTGAGATGGATGGTGCTGGCATTGTCACACCAGAGGGTGGGGCAGCGCTGGGGAACACCAAGCTCAGCTAGGAGGAAGCAGAGCCAGCGGGACTCTTGCGCGGCCATGGTGCCAGCATAGAGCTCAGCTTCACAGGAGGAGAGGGCGATGGCGGAGGAGCGAGTAGAGCGCCAGCTGATGAGGCCGCTGCCGAGGGTGAAGCCATAGCCTTGGGAGGAGCGGCGGTCTGGCTGGCAGTCTGCCCAGGAGGAGTCGCTGAAGCCAGAGAGAAGGGGGGGGGAAGATCCACCCAGTGTGAGAGCGTGGTCCCTGGTGCCACGAAGATAGCGGAGGACTCGCTTGGCGGCAGTCCAGTGTTCCTCAGTGTGGCGGCCGGGGCCGACGAATCGAGCAAGGACGCTGACAGGGTAGGCGAGGTCGGGACGAGTGCACATCATCGCGTACATCAGCGACCCAACAAGCTCGGCGTAGGGCCGGGAGGAGGTGGAGGGGGAGGTGGGTGGCGCAAGCTGGTGACCGAAGGGGAGGGGTGTGGAGACTGGTTTGGCCTGTGCCATCTCGAACTTTTCCAGGACCTGGCCGATGTAGTGGGACTGGGAGAGGGTGATGGTGCGGGCGGATCGATCACGAGTGATAGCCATGCCGAGGTAGTTCTGCAGCGGACCAAGGTCCTTGCACTTGAGACGTTCCTGAAGAGACCGTTTCACTTGATCCATGTCAGTCCTGGTGTCAGCGAGCAGGATCATGTCATCGACGTAGACCGAGATGAAGAAGCGACTGGGGGAAGAGCGGATGAAGAGGCTGGCGTCGGAGTGGGAGGGGGAGAAGCCAAGGGACTGGAGAGTAGCAGAGAGCTTTGCATGCCATTCTCGTGGTGCCTGCTTCAGGCCATAGACCGGTCGCTTCAGCTGCCAGACGGTGTTGTCGGGGAACGTAGCATGGAACCCGGGAGGTCGGCGGAGAAAGATGCGTTCGTGCAGTTCACCTTGCAGGAAAGCGTTGGAGACGTCCATGGAGTCAATCTCCATGTCGTCCCGCGCACCGATATCCATAAGGGTGCGTAGGGTGGCTTGCCTGAGGGTGGGGGCAAATGTGAACCAGTAGTCCTCAGCCCAGGTCTGGGTGAACCCCTTAGCAACATAGCGGGCTTTGTAGACTGGTTCCTCTCCCGGCAGCTGTTTGACTCGAAAGATCCACTTGCCCTCGACAAGGTTGGCGTCAGGGGGAAGGGGAACGTCGATAAAGGAGTCGTTGCGGATGAACGCCTCACATTCCAGGAAGATAGCGGCTATCCACTTGTCAGCGTCAGGGCAGGTGATAGCCTCCTGGAAGGTGGTGGGGACGAAGATGGTGGGAGCGGAGATCGCGCTAAGGAGTAGAGCGCCGAGGAGGTCAGGGTAGAGGGTGGAGAGAGAGGGAGTGTGGCGCTGGACCATGGCGAACTCCTCATGGGAGTCCTCGAGCTGGCTGAGGGAGGAAGGTGGCGGAGTGCCAAGGATGGGATCAAGAGAGCGGGTGTGCATGCGAGGGAGGAGGAAAGGTGAGGAGCGGGCAGTTGCCCTCCGCCGCTGTTGCTGCTGGTGCTGCTGGAACCCCTGCTGCTGCTGCGGCTGCTGCCCCTCCTGGTGCTGCTGCCCCTGCGGCTGCTGCTGCTGCTGCTGTGGCTGCTGCTGCTGCCCCTGCGGCTGCTGCTGCTGCTGCTGTTGGTGTTGCCCCCGCTGCTGCTGCCCCTGCGGCTGCTGCTGCTGCCGCTGCTGCTGCCCCTGTGGCTGCTGCTGCTGCTGCTGCTGTTGCGGCTGCTGCTGCTGCCCCTGCGGCTGCTGCTGCTGCTGCTGCTGCTGCTGCTGCCCCTGCGGCTGCTGCTGCTGCTGCTGGGATGGATGAGAAGGAGAGTGGGAAGGAGAGGAGGGAGGGGGAGCTGCGGAGTGTGCAGGGGATGTTGGAGCAGTGGGATCGTAGATATCGGCAGATGAAGGTGGCGGAAGCGGGGTGGGGAGGGGTGGGAGAAGAGGTGCTGGAGGGAGGAGGGGAGGGAGGACAGTGTCGGTCCAAGCGAGAGGACGTGTAGGAGGAGGGAGGGGGTCTGGTGGTGGAGAGGAGTAGTATGGGGTGGTCTCATCGAACACAACGTCGATGCTGCGGATGAGGCGACCAGAGGGAGGGTGGAGGAAAAGGTAACCAGGCGAGTCGCGGTTGTGGCCAAGGTAGACACACTCGAGGGCACGAGGAGCGAGCTTGCCGTGGGTCCGTTCAGATGGAGGGATGAGCACATATGCCTTGCAACCCCCACACGCAGTCCAGCAGCGTCAGGTTTGGAACCTGACCAGAGCTCCGTGGGGGTAGTGGCAGTGTGTTGAGGATGGGAGTGAAGGTTGAGGAGGAGGGAAGCATGAAGGAGGGCATAGCCCCAGAGAGAAGGGGGTGTGGAGGCGTGAGCGAGGAGACAGCGGGCGATCTTGGTAATTTCGCGGATGCGGCTTTCTGCGATGCCGTTCTGCTGTGGGGAGTGGGGAAGAGTGTGGGTCTGTTGGATGCCATGAGTGGTGCAGTAGTGAGAGAGAGTGCGATTGAGGAATTCGCCTCCCCCATCAGAGTGGAGGCGGCCGATGGGACGTTTGAAGTGGGTGCGGCATTGTTCTGCCCAGTGAATGATCATGGTCGGCGCCTGATCTTTTGTGTGGAGGAGGAAAACGGTGGAGTAGCGGCTATGATCGTCAACAAGAACCAGCATGTAGCGATGGCCTTGGCGTGAGCGGGTGGGAGAGGGCCCCCAGAGGTCCATATGGACAAGGTCAATGGGTGCAGGAGCAAAGGAGGGGTGGCTGTGATGAGGGGATTGTTTGAGTTTGCCGTGGATGCAGGAGGGGCATGGGGGGGCCGGGGAGGAGGGAAGGGGAGGAAGGGTGGGAGGGAGGCTGTGAAGGAGTCGTGAGGTGACGGCAGCGCGGAGAGCGGCGAAATTGGGATGACCGAGTCGGTGATGTAGGAGAACAGCGGGGTGGGAGAGATGGTCGGAGGTGGAGGGGGCTGGAACGAGTGAGGGCGGGATGAAGGAGTGGGGGGATGGTGGAGTGGGAGGGGAGGGAGGGAGATGGGGAGGGCTAGAGGAGGTACCCGCACGAGTGGTGACATGACAGGAGGATGGCCACGGAGTGCGGAGAGTGTAGAGGCGAGTGCGGGGGCAGAGGGGTATGCGGAGGAGGAAGCGGCCGGAGGTAGTATGGTAAAGGTCACAGTAGGTGGCATTACCAGGATAGACCGCAGTGATACCTGCACCTTGGATTTCACGGTGGGAGAGGAGGTTGTTTCGGAGAGTGGGGATGTGGAGACCAGTTACCTTACCAGAGGGGAAGAGTGAGCAGGGGAGAGTGGAGAGGTGTGTGCATGGGATGGTGAAGCTGCTGTCAGCGCCGTGAACGTGAGTGGGAGGGGAGAGGGGTGTGAGTGTACCAGCATCTTTGAGAGCAGTTTCAGTGGCCCCACTGTCTAGGACAAAGTCCAGAGTGGGCGAGGAGGAGGAAGACACGGAGTACTGGAAAGTGGTTTCATTAATGTTGGATGGGTACATGGAAGGAAGAGAGGGTGAGACAGAAATGTTGCCAAGAAAGCTTTCCTGAGTGAGAGGGGTGGCAGTGCCACTGGGGGGGGGTGGAGCACCCCAAAGGGGAGCCGGGGAGGCCTGGGCGGCCATGGCTGCTGTGCCAAAGTTTAGCTGCTGCTGCTGCCAGGGAGGAGGGCTGGGTCCCCACTGGGGCTGGGGCCCTGATCCCCATGGGTGCTGCTGCTGCGGCTGTGGGTAAAACAGCTGCTGTAACTGCTGCTGCGGCTGCTGCTGCTGTTGCTGCTGCTGCAGGAGGTGCTGCTGCTGGAGGTTGAGGAAGGGCGCGGGGGGAGCAAGGAGGCGGAGGTGGGCAGGGAGGTAAGCGTTGTTGTTTGGATGTCAGTGGGGGAGGGACGTGGGGAGATTGTTGCCCACTTAGGAGGATTGCCAACGTTGCCTCGTGCGTACCATGCATCATCGAGGGCCTTGAAGCAGGTGGCAGGAGGGTGGTTGGTCTGTCCGCAGGGGGTGCCAGCCCGTGGACCATAGCGGCGGACATAGGTGCAGGGCGGAAGAGTACCAGGGCGGGTCCCACTGGTTGCAGGGGCTCCGCCTGTATTGGGGGTGCCATGCTCGTCTCCAGTGGTGCCGCTGCGTCTGTTCGCGTTGCTGCTGCCTTGGCCGCTACCTCCCTTGCCTCCACCACCCCCCTTGCCGTTGTTCTTGCCCTGCTTGCGGGGCTGAGTAGCGTTGAGGGAGGAGGAGGAGGGTGGGGAGGAGGCGAGGTTGACGATGGGGGTGCGAAGTTTGACTTCAGTGTCTATGATCCACTGTTCAACGGAGGCGAGATCGGCTAGGGGATTGGCCTCGGTAAAGGCGTGAAGGCGGGATTCATAGTCGGGAGTGAGGTTAAACAGGAGGCGATGGATTTGGAGAGGTTCGGAGAGGCCGGCTTGGCGGGCTTCGAGACGATCAGCTACCTCCCGCATGCGTCCGATGTAGTCGACCGCTCCGTCACAGGTAGCAAGGGTGATTGAGAAGTATTCTTGGAACAGGATACCGACCGAGCTGATGTCGCGGCGTTCGAACATCGCATGGAGTTCTGCCCAGATGACCGAGGCCCGAAGCTCTCGAGCCTGGAAGCGGCGCATGAGGGAGTCAGGGAGAGCCCCAAGGAGAACGGTGCAGGCACGAGTGTCAGCAGTTGTCCAGGCGATAAGTTTCGGGATGTGGGTGGCCATGTCGTCTTTGTATTTGGCGACGACGGCGAGGTGAGCGTTGCGGCCAGCAACCGCCTGGTCATAGGCTTCGACTGCTGCATCGTACTCTGCTTTCTTGATAAGGTACGCACGGCGGCGTAAGATGAAGTCTGCATCAGCGGTGGCTTAGTCGCCTGTGCGTTGGAGGTCGGGTTCAAGAGGAGGATCGCCGGGAGAGGGAGGGAGAGGAGGAGTCTCGCCTGGGTGTTCAGGTTCGGTGGGGGGGAGTGCCTGGGGACGGCGGAGGAGGACATCAAGGACACGGTAGGGGGGAACCCATGCGTCGGAGAGAACGCGTCGGATGCTGCCGACGAAGGAGTGCCAATTGACGGCGGATTTGTCTGCGGCAAGCTGCAGCTTATCGACGGAGGACGTATCAATAGGAGGAGGGAGGGGGGCGGGGGAAGGTGCGGCGGTAGCCATGAAGGACGGCCGCGGGGGGACCCGCAGTGGTCACGGAGGAGAGGGAGGTGAGGCGGCGACGAGGCCGCAGAGGGGAGCGGCGCGGACGGCGGCGGCTAGTGGGGCCGCGGTGGCGTTGGCGCGGAGGCGGCGACGAGGCCGTGAGGGGAGCAGTGCTGGCGGCGGCGGCTGACGAGGCCGCGGCGGCGCTAGCGTGGAGGCGGCGATGGGGCCGCGGAGAGGCGCAGGCGGCGGCGGCAGCTGGCGCAGCCGCGGCGGTACAAGCGCGGAGGCGGCGACAAGGCCGCGGGAGGGAGCGGCGCGAGCGGCGGCGGCTGGCGAAGCCGCGGCAGTGCAGGCGCGGAAGCGGCGACGGAGGTCGCGGGAGGGAGCGGCGCGAGCGGCGGCGGCTGGCGAAGCCGCGGCAGTGCAGGCGCGGAGGCGGCGACGAGGCCGCGAGAGGGAGCGGCAGCGGCGACGGCGGCTGGTGGAGCCGCAGTGGCGTTGGCGCGGAGGCGGCGTCGAGGCCGCGGAATGGGGCGGGCGGTGGCGGTCGGCGGGACCGCGACAAGGCGAGCGCGGAAGCGGCGGTGGGGCCGGGGAAGGGAGCGGCGCGGGCCGTGACGGCGTGGGAGGCCGCGGGGCTGCGAGGAAGGGAGTGCTTGAGGAGAGGGGGAGGGTGGCGAGATAGCCGCGGAAAAATGAGAAAGGAGGCCGGGGGTTGTGGCGGCCTTTGAAAAAAAAAAAAAACTAGGAGCGTAGGCCTAGGATTTTTAAGAGCTCTATACCATGTGAGAAGAAAAGTTAGAAGAGAAGTTGATGTTGGATTGAGGAGAATGGGGGTTTACATAGGGAATGGGTTGGATCCTAGCCTAGGTGACCATTATTGGACCCCACCCATGAAGTTGGGTTGGGGGATTATTGGTGGGGTCCAATAATGTTGGCCAAGTTGGGGTTGGGCCAACATTATTGGTGTGAACCAATAATTCTACCCAACCCAACCTTTGGGGTCCAATAATTGGACCAAGGTTGGGTTTCCAACCTACAAATTGGGTAACCCCTGCTTGTACACCCAAACTAAGTTTGGGTGCTTATCTCTAGCCTATCCTATAACATCTATGCAGGTTACAAGAGAAGATAGATTCTAACAGTTCCTCCGCTCTTACTCCTCCTCCCTTCCTCTCCCCCCCCAGCTTATTCCCTCCAAAAGGTGGGGATTCTGACTCAGATTCAGCATCCGCACTAGTCTACGAGTACCTCGCCAACGGCTCCTATGAGGACCGCCTGCTCCACCTCAACTCACGCCCCCTCTCCCTCCCCTCCCCTTCCCCCCCTCCCTCCCCTCCTTCCCCCCGCCTTCCCCTCCCCTCCTCTCCTCCACTTATCCTCCTCCTCCCTTCCCCTCCTCCTCCTCTTCTCCTCCTCCTCATCTCTTCCCCTCCCCCTCCCCCTCCCCTCCTCCCCTCTCTCCCCCACTCCCTCCCTCCCCAACAGGTGGAGATTCTGTCGCAGATACAGCACCCGCGCGTGCTGATGCTGCTGGGGTAACTTTTGAGTCGACTCAAACGTCTGCCCCCCCCCTTCCCCCTCCCCTTCAATACCAGGTGGAGATTCTTTCGCAGATACAGCATCCGCACGTGCTGATGCTGCTTGGGTGCTGTCCGGATCGCTACGTGCTAGTCTACGAGTACCTCGCCAACGGCTCTCTAGAGGACCGCCTGCTCCGCCTCAACTCCACGCCGCCCCTGCCCTGGTTTGTCCGTATCCGCATCGCCGCTGAAATCGCCTCCTCGCTCCTCATCCTCCACACCCGCCCGGTCCCGATCGTCCACCGCGACTTAAAGCCCGGGAACATTTTACTCGATAAGAATTTCGTCGCGAAGTTAGGGGACGTGGGGCTCGCAAAGCTTATGCCGGGGCTGTCTATGGAGAGGACGTGCGAGAAGGAGTCGACCCCGGTGGGGACGTTCGCGTACGTAGACCCGGAATTCCAGAGAACCGGGGAATTCGGCCCGAAATCCGACGTGTACGCGTTCGGCATCGTCCTTCTCGACCTCCTCACAGGCCGCACGCCCGCTCTGTACGAAGCCCTAGAAGTGGCAGTAGAGAATAACCGGAACGATGAACTCATGAGGTTCTTAGATGCTGGAGCAGGCACGTGGCCACAGGGCATGCCAATGGAGATTGCCAAGCTGGCGATTCAGTGCAGTGAGATGAAGCGGCGGAAGCGGCCGGACCTGGAGACGGAGGTGATGCCGATTCTGGATCGCATGCGCAGCGTGGCGATCAAGGCGGAGGATGACGCCAAGAAGGCTTCGCTGGTGCGGCCTGTGGCGGCTGCTCCGCCCTGCCTCTTCTGCCCCATCACTCAGGTACCGTACCCCGTGTTGCAATCACTCTGATGCTGCTAATCCCCCTGATGCAGTCAATTATGTACCACCATCGCCTCCCGTGCTGCAGTCTCATGCACCACCACAGCTTCCTCGCTGCATCGTCCACATTACTCCCGCACCCATGGTCGTCGCACCTCTCCCCAAACTCACCTCTCCCCAAACTCACCTCTCCCCAAACTCACCTCTCCCCAAACTCACCTCTCCCCAAACTCACCTCTCCCCAAACACCTCTCCCCACACTCACCTCTCCCCACACTCACCTCTCCCCACACTCACCTCTCCCACACTCACCTCTCCCCACACTCACCTCTCCCCACACTCACCTCTCCCCACACTCACCTCTCCCCACACTCACCTCTCCCCACACTCACCTCTCCCCAAACTCACCTCTCCCCACACTCACCTCTCCCCACACTCACCTCTCCCCACACTCACCTCTCCCCACACTCACCTCTCCCCACACTCACCTCTCCCCACACTCACCTCTCCCCACACTCACCTAGGTCCTCGTGCCAATTACGCACGTGTGGCCAACCCCCACTCCCCCCCCCCTCCCCCCCCCTCTCTCCCCCGCCCCCTCTCTCCCCCGCCCCCTCTCTCCCCCGCCCCCCTCAATTACAGGAGCTGATGGTGAATCCAGTGATAGCAGCGGACGGGCACACATACGAGCTGGTGCTGCTCTGCATCACCTGCTCAACTCCTCCCCTTCCTTCTCTTTAACTCCCACCTCACAGGAGCTGATGGTGAATCCAGTGATAGCAGCGGATGGGCACACGTACGAGCTGGTGGCGATACAGCAGTGGCTGGAGAAGAGCGACCGCTCGCCCATGACCAACGTGCGCCTGCCCTCCAAGGCCCTTGTGCCCAATCGCGCACTCAAGTCCATGATCCTCGACTGGCGCGAGAACGGCGGGTCGGGATAACGACTAATCGCAAACAAATATCACGGACACGGCGGGTCAGGTCGGGGCAACGACTCTTCGTTTCTGCGCGTGTTTGAATCGCTCCTGAGCCATCTCAGTAATGAGCTTTCACTTGGGGTAGCACAGTGGGCCCAATGAGATATGTTTTTCCATCCATCCATCCATCTTCTAATTGTCCGCTCCTGGTTGGGTCTCGCTCAACCGTGCAGTTGGATTCACTGACTCTGCAAGTTGGCATGACTGTCTGACAGACAAGCATAGCATTTCTGGCTGGAAAAGTGAGGGTTTGTTGCCATTGGAGCGAGCAACTTCTGTGACACGACACGACTGGCTGCTTGTTTCTAGCCTTGGAGAGAATGGGATGTCCTTCAGGTTGCAACAGCTTACTGTTGCTTCATCTTGCAATTGTGTGCTTGCTCGATGTTGGCCCATGCTGGCCAGGGTCCAAAAGGTTCTCATCACGCCCATCACCAAGTGAGCATTGAGCAACTTCACTACAACTCACCTTGTTGCTAGAGCGTTGTTTCAATTGTGATGTGCTTTCTAGTAACAAAATCATTGCATATTGCGTGTCTAGTTGTGGAGGAGCTCTTAAAGGAGATGCTAACTCGTACAAATCAACTGGGGGGTGTGGGGGCCTCGATGCGTCAACCTGGCAGTTGTCAACGTCAGGTGAAATATGTACAGTACAGTATTCTGACTGTGTAAAACGGACTGCTCGGTGGGTTTTGCCCTTTCTGACCTCACTGGCTCGATTTCGGTTTCAAATATGTCCAGAACAGGCAGAAATCTTGTGCGGTTTTGTACGGTTCCTAAGCAGGTGGTACGTTTCACTGCGCTTCAGCGAGGTGGTACGGCCGAATCAGAAATTATCTGAAGAAGATCACACGCACGAGATTATGACAGAATTCTGCCAAGCAGGATCCCTGGCGGTGGATTATGTGCACTCTTGCTGCCCCGTGTCGTGCCGCTTTCGACATATGCTCCCGATGTAAATCGATCGAACGCCGATCGACCGTCCAACCCAGCACGAAATACCCCACGACGGATGGATGCGTTGACACGTCGGCTAACTGCCACACATCGCAAGGTTGGAACCCCCAGGCCCGGGGCACACTCAAACACCAAGGTTGTTGTGCGGTCAGGTTGGGCTGCCTCTGCGCTGGCGGGCAGCAGCAGCCCCACTGCTTCAATCCGACAAGCTCGAGGTGGATGCTTCGAATCGGCTCGTTCCACCTTGGCGCAGCAGATCTGCTCGGAGGTGGATTTGCTCAGACGCAGAGTCGCGCAACCCAAATGTCGAATCTGCCTCACACTCGTATCATCACCTTCCCACCACCACCGCCTTTGCTCCTCGAATCCTCGATGTTGGTTTTGTTCTCTCCTCCTCCACACAACCCCCTCGCGCGTGCCGCTGGCCGCGGTGATTCTCGGCCTCTTCTTCCCTTCCTGTCCTTTCACGCGGCTAAATAGCCATGGCCTTGTGTTATTTGATTTACGACCAAGAAAGCAGGAGTTCCAGCATAGCGCGGTGCGAACCAACGTCGACGTCTTATCAAGGACTGAGTGATTCACTATTTCAAAGGCTCTATTGTAAAATAAGTCATTATGCGGACGAGAACTGGCGGGTATCAAAGTGCTGCAGACGGTATTACTTTCCACATACGTCACACACCTTCCAAGCGAGCGTACTTGACGCGAATGTCGCTAAAGGCTTCCGATTCTTCAGCCCACAAACGGCTCGCGGCTTCAGGGCTTTCGCACATGGATAACCTTCCTGTAAGTGCATCTCCTGATGCCCATAATTTGTTCTTCGCCCAATAGCTTCTTCTCTCTGCTTAGCCACCTTAAACACCTCATTTGGGATTTCAACGACGGTCCTAACCGAAGTTCTTCCTAACGAATTGCAGGATGAGATCGTCACATGCATACTGGAGAAGGTTGTCGCTGACGCCAACACTTCCGCTGACGTCATCAACGTCCTCCTCACGTAAGGCCTTCGGAAATCTCACGTCACAAAGCAGCTTCGCTTCTTCAAGCTCTAACCTTTTTAACCAGGAGACGCCAAACAACTGACATCTTTGTTCTGATGATTTTTCAGGTCGCGTCGCATGTGCGAGCTCGGCACGCAGGCTCAAGTGCTAAAAAAAGTGTCGCCTCTCGCGCTCGCAATGCGGGCACGGTCGCTTTGCGAAGGGTCGCACAGGTTCTTGCAAAAGTGCACGATTTCCGGCAACACAGATGCCTGCTACATTCTCGGCATGGTAAGCCTCCTGCGTCCCACCGTCTCGCACGAAATAATCATAATCGGTTTCTCCTCTCCGGGTCACCCTCCTGCTTGTCCGGATTTCGTTAGCATGACGATGTCGTTCGTTCTCTGAATCTCATCTCTGTCATCTTCTCCCTTGCCTTGCTACAGATTAAGTTCTACTGCCTTGGGGATCACCAGCAGGGAGCCACGCTATTGGCCAAGGCGGCGCTCGCGGCGCACCCGCACGCGCTGCACTCTCTCGCCATCATCCACTTCAACGGCAGCGGCGGCACGCGCCACGACCGCGACCTGGTCGCGGGAGTTCTGCTCTGCGCGCGCGCCGCGGCCGTGGGACACGTGGAGGCGCTGCGGGAGCTGGGGCACTGCCTGCAGGACGGGTACGGCGTGCAGCGGGATATTCCCGAGGGCCGCCGGATGCTGCAGGAGGCGAACGTTCGCGAGGCTGCGCGCGCGCTCGCCTGCTCCGTGGCGGTGCCACGGTGTGCTGTTCCGTCAGTAGCCCCGCGTGACGCGGTTTCGCAATGCGGGATGACTGGGGCGAGCGGGGCGACTGTTTGCAATCACGTGCAGGCATCACCCGCCGCTCTCCCTGTGGCTTCAGCTGGTGTTGACACTCCTGGCTCAAATGGCAACGTTGCAGTGCGTGTGAAAGAGGGTAGCGGGAAGGGCGAGGTGCAAGTTCCGACAGCTCGTGTGCTGACGCGTGCCGCTGCAGTTTCAAGCGCGTTTGCACGCGAGCACGCTAACACGACTGGATCCTGGAACCAAGAAAGAAATAGTGTTGCTCGCGGTGTGTCTAACGCGGCGCATCAAGAGGAGGTCATACCACACCGCGTTTCCTCCGGTTCGAGAGTCGACTTGAGCGCGCTGCAGAGCTTGGGGAGCAGTGATAGCATGGCAAGAGCGGAGGGTGATGCGCAGCTGCTGCTGCAGTCTGGGTTGCAGCAGCCGCAGAATCAGCAGCCTGATCGTCAGTCCCAGCACGGGCATCATTCAGGTGCCCAGCATTTGGCAGCACAAGCTCCTGGAAGCATTACTCAAGCCCCTGCTGGTACAGATGCAAACGGAGCTTTGCCCTTCACAGAGAGACCTCCTGTAGCTGAATGCACGGCGCATAGTGGGCCTCGCCGCTGCTGCTGCCTGCCGCATGTTACCCTGCCGCTGTCCTGGTGGCATGTGGCCGTGCATAAGTTCCTGGTGGATTGGCATACGCTCGTGCCGCTCCCTGAGGGGTTCAGAGTGTGCTGCAATGAGCTGTGTGGGCGATCAGAGACGAGGAAGCAGGAGTTCCGGTGCTGCTCTGCGTGTGGTGAGGCTAAATATTGCAGCCGCGTGTGCCAGGCGGTGGACTGGAAGGCCCAGCATAAGGTGGTGTGTCCACTGATTGCTGCTAGGGTGCAGCAGGAGCAGGAAGTAGCGGCACGGATGGATTTGCTAAGACAGCAGGCACAGGCCCAGCAGCAAGAGAATCAGCATCGGGCTCAGCAGCATGATTTCCCAGTGCAAGCGGACCAGCACCAGCCTCAGCAGTATGATTACCCAGTGCAACCGGATCAGCACCAACAACTGGATCAACATCAGCCGCAGCAGCAGCAAAATAACGTCCAGGGTGATCAACAGGAAGTACATTAGTGTTATAGTTGAGACTTCAGCGCTGTTCAAGAAGCTGATCATGTGTTCCTGCCTTACCTGTCTTCAGCTTTAGTATTCAGTATAGTTGAGACTTCAGCGCTGTTCAAGAAGCCGATCATGTGTTCCTGCCTTACCTGTCTTCAGCTTTAGTATTCAGTATAGTTGAGACTTCAGCGCTGTTCAAGAAGCTGATCATGTGTTCCTGCCTTACCTGTCTTCAGCTTTAGTATTCAGTAATGTACTGTTATTATGGTTATATAATTCAGAAATTTACACATTTAAAAGCTCCTGGCGTCCATGTGACAACCCCAAATCCTGACGATCACGGTGGGACTCGAACCCACAATCTCCAGCTCCGGAGGCCACGCGACCACCTATTCTCACATAATTCTCCACATTCTTTCCATTCCCCTTTTCCCTTCCCCCCTCCCCCCACCACTTTATTAACAGTATAGTAAATGTACAATGGATACAAGGCAAATCCAGAGAGCCACTGTGAAGAAAGAAATGCTAGACTGTCCTACAGTGAGGCCTACAAACAGGCCTCCGTGATGTCTCAGTGGTCACCTCCCAAGCAGGGTTCTCGTTATCAGACCAATTTGGTCTGATGGTCTGAGTTTAAGACTTGTTTTTTTGTATTCATCTGCTTCCTAAGAATCTGTGTTTGTTCTCATCTGATCAGTAAGATAAGAGTTTTAGGTTCGTCTGAAACCGACATCTTGACCCACTAGGCCATATGCCCAGTGGACCAGAGGATAGGACCACAGGTACAGCCATTTGCTGCCCTGTAACAGCACGCGCATTCATTACGCGTGTCTTATAGCAGCCTCGCTGTCATGTAACTGCGGCATATGCTGCCAGGAGTTTGTTATCAGACTAGAAAATTTATTCCAGCTTATGATGGAAGTTTCGTCGTCCGAGCATAAGACGGGGGAAAATTTTTTCAGGGTACTGTCAGACAGCCCCAAAACCTAGCGAGAGCCCTGCTCCCAAGTAAGCAAAATCAGCCGCTGAAAGAGAAGTCACCTCGGATGGAACGTGGTTGACGCCCTCGGTAAAACGGATTTGCGCACGCCGACAAACAGTGCGAGCCTGCTCACGCTGGTGGATAAGAGATATCCGCTTGTAGAAGTTGGTCTCGAACAGCTGGGGAAGAGAATCTGTGGCACCACTCAAGTCACGAACTTGTGAAGCCCCCCTACGGCTGCATTGACGAAGGAAGTTGTTGAAGGAAGCGCCGAAGCAACCGAAGGTTTCGATGACAAGAGGAAACAGTTTGACGTCTGGGCGGTCCCGAAGTGCTGCAGCATAGTGGGTAGTCTTCTCACTTTCACGAGTGGCTGCTGCTGAACCGATTACCGTAGCTGCGTTGGAGTGCGGAAACCCCTTTTGAGGATCAGCTACAGAAACATCCAAGGCCCTGGTGGTACCAGAGCAGATGTCGCGACACGTGATGTCTGTTCAGCGGCCTGGCAGCAGGTGTTGGTCTTCCATTTGCGCAGAGAACCCAAGCTCCAAGGCAATGCGATGAACTTCGCGCTTGATTTCGTCGTGCACCTTCGTAGGTTCGTTGTTGCTAGGGCAGCGAAGGACGTGAGAATGGATGGAAGGATCGGTGTATGGGGAGTTGCAGGTGCAGGTGTGGGAAGAAGAAAGATGTGGGATAGGAAGGCCTAGGCGGACAGCTGCTGCAATGCGCCACTCGGTCTCTGAAAGCTGCATGTGCGGGGAGGATGGAGCGACAGTAAGCCAGTCACCTGCATGCGGGCCCTGCAAAGAGGTTAGGCGAGCAAGGCGCAGCGGGGACGTTACTGTGGCTCGAACCTTCTCCAGCAAATCGGCTTCGAGGTGTTGGGAAAGATGAGTGTACAGCTTAGGAGGGTAGCCCGATTGAAGCACAGACCATGATGGAAAGCGCCCGCGGATGTCTTGGGGAAGCATGGTCATAGTAGATGAAATTGAAGGGTCGAGGTGGATAATGGAGTCTGTGTCAATGTAAGGGCGAAAAAGAGGAGCGTCGTCGGTGATAAAGTGGGTGGATAGGGTCGAAATTGACTGCGCCCAGCTGCAGAGGTAGCTGAGAGGGGCAATGGAGGCGGAGCTACGGATGCCGAAGCCCCCAAGCGGATAGGGAGCGCGGCTTGGAGTCGGGCCGATGCGGACTGTTCGGAGTTGGGGTTCCAGTACTCGGAGCCCAGAAGCTGAGAGAAGTGGCTGAAAATGGTGCTGTCCCATGAGGAGAGTAGCTCTTGGATTTCAGGGAAAGGTGCGACAGTTCGGAGGAGGAAAGAAGGTCGGGCAGTGATGCATAAGGAAAGGATCCGTGAGGCAATCTGTGGGTTCTGCAGTTGATGAAGTAAGGGGAGGGAGGAGGTGAAAGAGTCGAGTTTGTCGCGAACTGTAGAGATGATGTAACCGTCTGAGCCGGTAGGAACGCCAGCGACAGTGAGACCGTTTACAGCGATGAAAATGCCGGAGGGTGGAATGCAGCGTTCGGGTAAGTCCATAGGGGCCCATAGAGAGCACTTAGAGGGTTGAACAGTAAGGCCGAGAGAGAGAAGGCGGGCAGTAAGGTCAGTGTATGCAGCAAAGACGTCCGAGGGAGGGCCGACCAGGTAGGTATCGTCCGCGTATGAGGTAATGAAAATAGAGGGAGACTGCTGCTGGGTTGGTTGGATGGCTAGCTGTTGCGTTAAAGCGTACAGGAAAGGGCCGCAAGGTTCGCCTTGACGAACACCAGAAGCTGACTGGAATGTGTGGAGAAGGGGGCCGCTGCGGTAGTGGAGAGGTGAAGGGGTGGAGTAGAAAAGGCGGAAGAAGGGAATGAGAGTGGAGAATGGGGAGCGCCTTAATGCCTCAAACATAGGAACCCGGTTGAAAGAATTGAATGCATTTGCAACGTCCAGCTGCAACACCACCCTGTCCGGATGAAGGGAGAAGGCGGAACAAACTGCGTGTGACATGATCTCAATCCCGGCTGGAACTGCTATGCCAAACTGAAGATGAGGAAGAAACGTTTCTCGCATCTGCTGCTTGAAGAGGAGAGTAATGCAGCGTGAAAGAAGGCGTGGTAACACTTCCCCAATGGCGATGGGCCGTACGCCACCATGCGGCTTCTGTAGGGGGACGAGGTTCGAAGCGGTGTAGTAAGGCCGAACTGCAGGTGGAAGATCGCCTTGCAGCCAGTTCTTGAAGACGTGGAGGAGAGAAGGGAGATGCTGCTGGTGGGAGAGAAATGTGTCACGAAGATGCTCAATGAACCACCCAGAAGGCCCAGCAGCTGTGTCGCGGGGGGCAGACTGTAGGGCGGCGTGGAGAACAGGGACAGTAAGCTGAGGTGCGGCAGCAGGAGAGAAGCTGTGGACCCAATCAGGAATCTCGGCTGCAGCAGGTGGATGCTTGGAGTTGAGGGCAGCAACTGTTTCTGGTACCGGTGGTGCTAACTCGCCAGCCTCCAGTGCTGCCAATGACCGCGACCAATCCCCGCATTTTGCAAATCTCTTCGCACGGTTGAGACGAGCCTGCAGCGCTGAAGAACGTGCTGATGCCATGTGTAGAGGTCTAGCGGCTGGAGTGGCTGCAGCTACGGCTTCGCTGAAAAGAGACTGCCAATCACCACTGATGAAGCGGCGCGCTGAGGAGGCGCATAAAGAGGTAAGGGATTGTGTGGGAGCAGCAGCAGATGGTAGACGCAGCAAGAGACGCGGAAATGCCAAAAGTATGAGGTGTGCAGCGACGTCAGAGGGATGCTGAGCAAGGCGGCGCAGTGGGATGAGAAGTGCATCGAGAATGAGGAGTCGGATGCAGGAGGGGATTCGGCGGTGAATAGGGCCAGGTGAGACTGCTGGGCTGAAGAAGGAAGGCCAATCCCAGGAAGGAACGACGTCCCAGGTGGCTTGGGGAATGGAAGGTCGATCTGCAGCTGCAGGAGCTGAAGTTGGGGCTGATGCGCGGGGAGGTGGAGGCCGAGCAGCTTGCTGTCGTGTGGCGGTGTTGCGAGAGCAGGCTGAAATGTGTTTGGCGAGAGAACCTGGGTTGGAGAAGGTACGTTTGCATGTAGGGCATGTTGGAGGACTTGGCGGGTTGTTGGGGGCTGACGAGGGCAGAGGAATTTGCGGGTTTGGCTGTGAAGGGTGAGGGTTGGGGGGAGGAGGAGGAGGGTGGTTATGAGAAGGAGAAGCATCGGTTTCGTAGTGTGACAGTGGGTGCGAGTCGAGGGCTGTGGGATCAGCAGTATCGGTCGTGGCAATGGGAGGATGATCCCGTGATGGCAAGGAGTTAGGGCGAGAGGTTTGAGGGTGAGATGAAGACAGGAAATTAGAAAGGGTGTCTTTCAGAACCTGCTGGAGAACCTCCTTCTGTTTCTTCGAAACAATTTTCGGTGCAGACGTTGGCTGAGGTTGCTGGGGGGGAGCAGAAGATGGTTGAGGCTGAGGAGTAGAGGGTGCTGCGGGATTCGATGGGGGAGTCGAAAGTCTCTCAGAGGCTGGATTTTGTCGCGAACGTGCTGGAGGGCGAGGTGGAAGGGGTTCGGAGTCCTGGGCACCACGGCCCCTTTTGCGGCTCGTCATTTTCCCAGGTAATGGGCTGGTGGCTGATGGAATGAATTTGGAAAATGGGGAAGCATAAGAAGGCTGCCGGAAATGTAACTCTTAGTTGGTGTAGCGCAAGGGGTCTCGGAAAAAGGGAATTGGGGATGCAGATGGGGCTGACACAAGCGAGTATGCGAACGTGGTGATGTGGCGGGAAAATCGGGTAACGGCGCAGGTTGCGAAGAGGGGTAGGCGCGAAACAGCTGGTCGTGCCACGGTGGGTAAAAATTCGTGTTGACGACGTGCTGAAATCTGCTGATCGAACCTGAGGTCAAACCACGCTGGTGCCGCCGTATTTGCTGTACGTGGCTGAAACTAGCGAGACTGCTAAGCGACCCTACTACGTAACGACGTGAAGTAGCAGCGGCACTGATATGGCGCGGTCCTAATTTCGTCCAGCCGGTCGCGCGAAAGTGGCTCAAAGTTTTTGCCCGTGGGAAGGAAGTCGCGGCGTGCACGAAGGGGTATAAAAGTAGGTGCTAAGTTTCTGATTTCGCCCCTAAGCGTAGAGTAGTGAGTTTAGCTGCTTTGCTCGAGTGAGCAGCTTGACGAACTATCAAACTAGAAGCGTTCTAGCGCTTTTATAGCTGCTACAGCGAGGTGGAGTGAGAGCGAGGCAAACTATCAAACTAGAAGCGTTCTAGCGCTTTTATAGCTGCTGCAGCGAGGTGGAGTGAGAGCGAGGCAAACTATCAAACTAGAAGCGTTCTAGCGCTTTTATAGCTGCTGCAGCGAGGTGGAGTGAGAGCGAGGCAAACTATCAAACTAGAAGCGTTCTAGCGCTTTTATAGCTGCTGCAGCGAGGTGGAGTGAGAGCGAGGCAAACTATCAAACTAGAAGCGTTCTAGCGCTTTTATAGCTGCTGCAGCGAGGTGGAGTGAGAGCGAGGCAAACTATCAAACTAGAAGCGTTCTAGCGCTTTTATAGCTGCTGCAGCGAGGTGGAGTGAGAGCGAGGCAAACTATCAAACTAGAAGCGTTCTAGCGCTTTTATAGCTGCTGCAGCGAGGTGGAGTGAGAGCGAGGCAAAACAAATCAGGAAAGAAGAAACTACAACTACAACTCTACAACACCAAGTGGCGGTTAATAACAAAATAATGACATGAGTGTTAGGTTACCATGTGAATAATGAGCTAGTGAACATCCACCCTGCAAAGCCTTATTATCCCAACCAGATCGGATGCGCTGTTGCGATGCGCAGCCATCAATCGCTGCTCACAAGTGGTTGGAGGCTGACGTCAGGATGTAAGTGGAGGAACGGATGGTTCTGATAGGTCATGGGGATGGGGTGGGACGCGAGGGATGGCAGCAGGGAGAAGGGAAGAGGATAAGTTTAGGTCAGGCTAAATTAAAACAGGAGATGACTGAAGACAGAGTAACAGTAGAATAGGTATAGATATAACCACCCAGACATATATGCGTGGGCCAGAGTAAGTATATAACCACCCATGTTCACAAGCCACCGACCTAAAACACATAGCCCATGACATGCCATTCCATGCCCTGCTGTACCACGCCATGCCATCATGCCATGCCAAGCCATGCTCTAACATGCCATGCCAAACCACACCGTGATATGCCATGCCCGACCATGCCATGCCATGCCATGGCCCGCCACTCCACCCCATGCCACAGCACACCATGGCATGGGATGGCATGGCATGGCATGGCATGGCACAGCATGCCACAGCATGGCACGCCATGGCATGGCATGGCAGAGGGCACGGAGGACTCACAAGAAGCTGCTCTGCTGATGGGCGTTGGCTGGGGTCCTTCTGAAGACTGCAGAGGGGCGAGAGGGAGGGGGGAAATGAGGGCATATGAGATGAGTGCACATGAGATGAGTGCACATGAGATGAGTGCACATGAGATGAGTGCACATGAGATGAGTGCACATGAGATGAGTGCACATGAGATGAGTGCACATGAGATGAGTGCACATGAGATGAGTGCACATGAGATGAGTGCACATGAGATGAGTGCACATGAGATGAGTGCACATGAGATGAGTGCACATGAGATGAGTGCACATGAGATGAGTGCACATGAGATGAGTGCACATGAGATGAGTGCATATGAGATGAGTGCACATGAGATGAGTGCACATGAGATGAGTGCATATGAGATGAGTGCATATGAGATGAGTGCACATGAGATGAGTGCATATGAGATGAGTGCACATGAGATGAGTGCACATGAGATGAGTGCATATGAGATGAGTGCACATGAGATGAGTGCACATGAGATGAGTGCACATGAGATGAGTGCACATGAGATGAGTGCATATGAGATGAGTGCACATGAGATGAGTGCATATGAGATGAGTGCATATGAGATGAGTGCACATGAGATGAGTGCATATGAGATGAGTGCACATGAGATGAGTGCACATGAGATGAGTGCACATGAGATGAGTGCATATGAGATGAGTGCACATGAGATGAGTGCACATGAGATGAGTGCACATGAGATGAGTGCACATGAGATGAGTGCACATGAGATGAGTGCACATGAGATGAGTGCACATGAGATGAGTGCACATGAGATGAGTGCACATGAGATGAGTGCACATGAGATGAGTGCACATGAGATGAGTGCACATGAGATGAGTGCACATGAGATGAGTGCACATGAGATGAGTGCACATGAGATGAGTGCACATGAGATGAGTGCACATGAGATGAGTGCACATGAGATGAGTGCACATGAGATGAGTGCACATGAGATGAGTGCACATGAGATGAGTGCACATGAGATGAGTGCACATGAGATGAGTGCACATGAGATGAGTGCACATGAGATGAGTGCATATGAGATGAGTGCACATGAGATGAGTGCACATGAGATGAGTGCACATGAGATGAGTGCACATGAGATGAGTGCACATGAGATGAGTGCACATGAGATGAGTGCACATGAGATGAGTGCTTGTACCTGGGAGCACTGAAGCACAACACACCAGAGCACTGCACCGCACTACACCCATCCTCCCACCCTGAAAACACACCACACTTACCCAGTCAGCCACCCAGACAGGCACCCACCAAAGAACCACAAAATCGCAGAACTGGGGTGAGAAGAGGACAGGGGGTCAACGTGAGCGCACTCGATCGCACAGCAGAACACTGCACCGCACCACACCCACCAGAGCGCCACAAAATCGCAGAATTGCGGTGAGAAGAAGTCGGGCGGAGCGATGGGGGCGGGCGAGTTGGAAATCTCCGAGAGCAGATCGAAATAGTTGAAGGAGCCTCCAGAGGCGGGGCAGAACACATACCTACCCACCACCATGCACTGCACTACACCCACCCAGTCAGCCACCCAGCCAGGCACCCACCAGAGCGCCACAAAATCGCAGAACTGGGGTGAGAAGAAGTCGGGCGGGGCAATGGGGGCGGGCGAGTTGGAAATCTCCGAAAGCAGATCGAAATAGTTGAAGGAGCCTCCAGAGGCGGGGCGGTAGGGGTACTGGCCGATGGCACACTCGAGGAGGCTCAACCCAAACGCCCACACGTCGCTGTTGTGCGAGTAGGACTTTCCCATTATGCGCTCCGGCTGATGGGGGAGGGGGGGAGAGGGGGAAGGGAGGAGCGGAGAGGGAGATGATAGCAGTGAGGTAGGGGTACTGGCCGATGGCACACTCCAGGAGGCTCAGCCCGAACGCCCACACGTCGCTGTTGTGCGAGTACGACTTGCCCATTATGCGCTCCGGCTGATGGGGGACGGGGAGGGGGCACAGAGGGGATGCGAATGAGAAGAGGAGGGTGAGACTGGCCGAAGCCCAACGTGTCGCTGTTGTGCGAGTAAGAGTTGCTCATTATGCGCTCCGGCTGGTGGGGGAGGGGGGAGGGAAAGAGAGGAGCGGAGAGGGAAACGATAGAGGTAAAGTACCACCCAATAGCACACTTAGGGAGGCTCAGACCAAACTCCCACACATCGCTGTTGTCCGAGTAGGGAGGGGAAGGAAAGGGAGGAGCGGAGAAGGGGATGATAGCAGTGAGGTAGGGGTAGGGAGACGTAGCAGTGAGAGAGCTATCGGCCGATGGCACACTCGGGGAGGCTCAGCAAACAACACCCGCACGCGTCGCTGCTGTGCGAGTAGGACCTGCCGTTTAAGCGTTCCGGATGGTGGGGGAGGGAGGGGAGGAGGGGGTAGGGAGGGGTGGGAGGGAATAATGTACACTGGCTGGTCAGGAGTTAGGAAAAGCGTGTGATCCTGTAAAGGAAGACTAGTGACGCCTCATGCTAGTTGCTGTTGCTGTACCCACAAACGCCTCACAACCTCACCAACATCAACATGCACGTGTACGTGCCAGCAAACGTTGTGCTCATAGCTGTTTTTGTTGCTGCCATTCCTCCCCCTGCCACTACCCCTGCCCCTGCCCCTGCCCGTGCCCCCACCTCTCCACTCACCGACATGTAAGTGTAAGTGCCAGCAAACGTGTTCCCGACGTCATAGCTATTCTCCAGCACGCGGCTGACGCCAAAGTCGCTGATCTTGAGGCACCCCGACTGGTTGAGCAGCATGTTGCTGGGCTTGATGTCGCGGTGGATGATGCGGTGCCCCCCGTACAGGTCGCGCAACCCCTGCAGGGCCTGCCGGGAGATGGCTGCGAGGTAGGGTTCGGTTATGCGCCCCACTAGCTGCAGGACATCGGCGAGTGACCCCGCGTCCATGTATTCGAGGACTATGAACAGATGCCCGTCGTCTACAAAAGCCTGCAAACACAGGGTTTGGGAGTGTGAAGATGGGTTGAGGGGGTGAGAGGGTGCTGAGGGGTTGCTCCTGACGCCTGCAGCCTGCAGCCCGCAGTCCCTGCAGCGCCTGCCGCGAGATGGCTGCGAGGTACGGCTCCGTGATTCGCCCCACCAGCTGCAGCACATCTGCTGCTAGTGAGCCCGCGTCCATGTATTCGAGCACTATGAACAGATGCCCGTCGTCCACGAAGGCCTGCCGCACAGGGGGTTCAGGGCGGTGGAGCAGGGTTGAGGAGGTGGGTGGGTGCAAGTGAGGTGCTCGGAAGGTGAATGATGCGGTGCCCCGCATACAGGTCGCGCAGCCCCTGCAGGGCCTGGCGTGAGATCGCTGCCAGGTACGGCTCCGTGATTCGGCCTACTAGCTGAAGGACATCGGCAAGTGAGCCGGCGTCCATGTATTCGAGGACTATGAATACATGTCCGTCGTCCACGGAAGCCTGGAGATGGGTGGGTGAGCAGCAGTTCAGAGCGGTGGAGACAGGTTAAGAGGGTGAGAGGGTGCTGGTTGGGTGGGTGTTCCTGCAGCCTGCAGCCCCTGCAGGGCCTGCCGCGAGATGGCAGCGAGGTACGGCTCCGTGATTCGCCCCACCAGCTGCAGCACGTCGGCTAGAGAGCCTGCATCCATGTATTCGAGCACTATGAACAGATGCCCATCGTCCACGAAGGCCTGAAGAGGAGGGGTTCAGAGTGGTGGAGCGGGGTTGAGGGGAGGGAGGGTGGGCGAATCACAGAGCCACACCAGCTGCAGCACGTCTGCGAGGGAGCCGGCATCCATGTACTCGAGGACTATGAAGAGATGCCCGTCGTCCACAAATGCCTGGAGCGCAGGGGTTCAGAGCGGTCGACAGGGGTTGAGAGCGTGAGAGGGTGCTGTTGGGTGCTCCTTCCTGACACCTGCAGCACGTCTCCTAGTGAGCCGGCATCCATGTATTCGAGGACTATGAATAGCGTCCACGAATGCCTGCACACACAGGGGCGCACAGGAATGCCGAGCGGTGGAGAGAGGTTTGAGACGATGAGAGGTTGGATAGTGAGTCCGCGTGCATGTATTCGAGCACTATGAGTAGACGCCCATCGTCCACAAACGCCTGGAAACGGGTGATGAGCAGGGGTGCAGAGCGGTAGAAAGGGTTCTGAGATGGCTCAAAATGACCAGTTGGCCACACAGCACCGCACACCACCACACAGCATACCTGGTAGCAGCGCACCACATGCGGCGAGCGGCACTGGTGATTAATGCGTAGCTCGTTCCCCACGTGCCTCTGCACGTCAGCATCCATGTTCAACTGCATGTCCTTCAGTGCGTACTGCTGCCCCGTGCGCACATGCTGCACCAGGTGGTACCCCTCCCAGCAACCCGCAGCACCACACAGCACCGCACACCATACCCCGGCATACCTGGTAGCACCGCACGACATGCGGCGATCGGCACTGGTGATTAATCCGCAATTCATTCCCCACGTGCCTCTGCACGTCAGCATCCATGTTCAACTGCATGTCCTTCAACGCGTACTGCTGCCATCATCTTGCACCGCACTGCACCGCACATCATACCTGGTAGCAGCGAACCACATGCGGCGAGCGGCACTGATGATTAATGCGCAATTCGTTCCCCACGTGCCTCTGCACGTCAGCATCCATGTTCAACTGCATGTCCTTCAGTGCGTACTGCTGCCCCGTGCGCACGTGCTGCACCAGATACACTGCTGCACTCGCCCCCCTCCCCAACAGCTCCACCTTTTGCAAATCAGCCAGGCGTAGCGAGTTGTCCTGCTGTGAGGGGGGTGGGGAGGGGAGTGGGGGGATGGGTACATACATGCTGCATTGGGGGGATTGGCTAGGGGAAGCGGAAACAGAAAGCACGTCATGCACCAGGTGCACTGCCGCGCTCGCCCCCCGCCCCAGCAGCTCCACCTTTTGCAAATCAGCCAGGCGTAGCGAGTTGTCCTGCTGTGAGTGGGGTGGAGAGGGGAGGGAAGGAATATAGGGCTATGGGAGAGCGAAAAGGACAACACATGCTGCACCAGGTACACTGCTGCGATCGCACCTGTGCCTGCCTGCTGCACTGCACTCGACACTACCAGTGCTCCCCCGTACACGCGCATTGGTACTCCAAACCTGAAGCAAGCCAATTCTCACCTACTTTTGAGTCGACTCGAAAACAAGCCAATCTCACCTGCTGCTGCTGATCGGACACTCTGAGTCCCCGTCTCCCCACTGCCACGTGCCCGAAGTTGGCTGTGCCACTGTCCGTGCTGTGGGGGGGGTGGAGCACAGGGGAGGGCAAGCGGAGGGGAGGGTTGGAGGAGCGGAGGAAGGGGGTAGACAACTCAAGAGAGCACTCTGAGTCCCGCTCTCCCCAAGGCCACGTGCCCGAAGTCGGCTGTGCCACTGTCCGTGCTGTGGGGAACATGGGGAAGGGAGGGCAGGCGGAGGGGGAGGCGGAGGGAAACGTGGAGAGGGAAAGAGACGATTTTTTTGAAGTCTCAAGAGGGCACATGAGGGCTCCCATGACGGTTTTTTCTGAACTCCCTCTCCCCAAGACGAGGGTAGATCAGCGGGGAAGGCACATGAGGGAGGGGCTGGGGAGGAAGAGAAAGGGGGGAGGCAGATGGGGAGACAGGCAGAGGAGTGCGGGGAGGCGGAGGGGAGGTGGGGAGGCATTGCGGGAGGCTGCGCGCATGAGAGAAAAACGGCCGCGGCAGAGGCGGGAAAAACCAGCGAAGGGTGGGGGCCGGCGGGAAGGAGAGACGCGGAGAGAGGGAGAGGCGCGGGGGAGAGAGGAGAGGGGGGAGAGAGGGGCGCGGGGGGGGAGAGGGGCGCGGGGGGAGAGGGGGGCGCGGGGGAGCTTACAGGAAGTTGAGGTTGCTTTCTTCCGCGGTCTGCGGAAAACGCACGCGCGAGGCGGGGGAGCGGATGCGGGGAGGACGGGGAGAACAATGGCGCGGGTTAGACACGGAGAAATGGGGTCGGGGTGAATTGGCGGATACGGGCAGCAGAAGGAAGCAGTAGGGGCAGACAACAGGCAGCAGAGGCACGGGTCAGCACGCACGGCGCGCAGCGGTGGTCGCGCTGCGTGGCGAGGCTAACATTGGTGCGGAACGAGACGCGGAGAGGAACTCACTCTGCCTGGTAATTGAATGCCGAAGCCCGGCACGTCTAGCATTGGCGGGAAGTCGTCCTCCATGGCTGCTAATAACTATGTATGAGAGGCAAAGTCAGTGGTTCTAAAATGTCGCTCTTTCATTAGGTCTGAAAAGCGGGCTTCTAGTCCAAAATTGTTCAAATCTATTATGTGTTTCACTTTTGCAGGTCGCGTGGCCTAATGGATAAGGCGCTCGCCTCCGGAGCGGGAGATTGTGGGTTCGAGTCCCACCGTGATCGCAAGTTTTGTTTGTTGGCGTTGCCTGACCAGCCTATGCTGCTCGCTTCGCAGCAATGAGTACATACACGTGAAAGTGAACCGGGGGCAACTTCTGATGTATGCGAAAGTGTAATTGGTGCGCCAGTCGTTGCGATATGGCCCTGTATCTTCCATTACACACACACAGCACCTATCCCCCCGTGCGCCTAGCGCAGAGCAACCTTCCCTCCCGTGCGCCCACCGCACAGCACCTATCCTCCCCTACATAGCTCACCCTGTGCTGCCGTCATTGCATTACGATCCCTCCTCTCTCCTCCCCCACGAAACTCCCGCCTCCCTCCTTCCCCTCTACAACACTCCCCCCTCCACCTTCTCGCTATGCAACACCAGCACCACGTGCACGTGCCCATGTGTGTTTGCACTCTCCGAGAAATCAGAGCCCTTGTTTATGTCAGTAGATCTGCCAGTTTATCCTCCTGCCCTGCCCCCATCGCCTCCCCTGTCCGCCCTTCCCTGCCCTGCTCGCATCGCACTCCCTCCCTCCTCCTCCCGTGCAGCACTTCCTTCTCTCTCCTTCCCCTCTGTGGCACTCCTCCCTCCCTCCTTCCCTTCAGCAGCCCTCCCCCCATTACCTCCCCCCTATCGCTGCGTGTACGGCACATACATCACTACCACGTGCACGCACCCGTCTATGCTCGCACTCTTACGGGAGGGCTTGGGCACCTGTCTAACCTCCTGCTCTTCCCCCATCCCCTATGCTGTCCGCCTTTTCCGTTCTGCTTCCACCACACTCCTCCTACTCTCCTCCCCAACTGCACTAACTTCTCCCTCCTTCCCTTCAGCAGCACTCCCCCCTCCCCCCTCTCGCTGCGTGTACGGGACATACATCACCACCACATGCACGCGCCCATGTGTGCTCGCACTCTCAGGGGTCTCGGGCTTGTCATACAGGTCTAGCCAGAGGTCCTGGGCCTTGTTCGGGTGTAGCTGTGAGAAACAGGAGCGGGGAGAGAAAGGGGAGATCAAAAGGGAGTCGAAGGAAAGCGGGGACGAGGGTGCTAAAAGAGAAGGGGAGCAGGCGTGAGGACAAGCGGGCGGGAGACGAGTTGAGGGGGATGGCTAAGCGTATGAAGGGGCTGACAGAGGTTCTGATCAACTCAGGTGGAGTGAGTGAGGGTTTGGGGGTGCAGGAGGAGGGAGTAAATGAGGGACTGGGGGGACAGGCGGAGGAGGGAGTGAGTAGCCGCCAGTCCCCCCAATCCTTCACTAACTCCCTCCTCCTGCAACTTCAAGCCCTCACTCACTACACCGCACTCGCTCACTCCACACGTGGGCTCCTACCGTGTGGAGACGCAGCATGTGCGCGCCTATGAACTCTGACTTCTCAAACCGCTCGCTGTCCATCAGTCGAATGGTCAGCTGCTGTGACTCTGGGTCCTGCACCTGTGCAAGGGGTTGCGGGGTGAAGTGCGAGGAGTTGAAGGGCGAAGCAGTGGAAGAGGAAAAAAGGGGGTGAGAGGGATGAGCAAGGAGGCGGATGGTCAGCTGCTGCGAGTCTGGGTCCTCCACCTGTGTGCAGGGGTGAGGGGCAAGGCGTGAAGGAGGGAGGGAGGGGGACGAGCACGCAGTCTGATGGTCAGCTGCTGCGAGTCTGGGTCCTCCACCTGTGTGCAGGGGTGAGGGGCAAGGCGTGAAGGAGGGAGGGAGGGGGACGAGCACGCAGTCTGATGGTCAGCTGCTGCGAGTCTGGGTCCTTCACCTGTGTGCAGGGGTGAGGGGCAAGGCGTGAAGGAGGGAGGGAGGGGGACGAGCACGCAGTCTGATGGTCAGCTGCTGCGAGTCTGGGTCCTTCACCTGTGGCAGGGGGGGCGAAGCGTTAAGGAGGGAATGAGAGGGAAAAGCTCAGAAGCAACGCCTTGTCACTCCTATCTACCCCCCTCAGCACAAAGATCAACCCTCCTCACTTCACGAATGTACCCTGTCAGCTCATGGCAACGCCGTGCCATTCCAGGCTCCCTTCTCACCTTGAGAATAAACCCCTCGTTCCAAGTCGGGTGGCGGGAGTGGTGCACGGTGGTGCTGCGCTTGATGGCTCCCTCCCGCTGCTGCATATACAGCAGCACAAACAGGTCAGCTTCAACGCACTACCCCCTTCTCACCTCAAGTATAAACCCCTCGTTCCACGTGGGGTGGCGGGAGTGGTGCACGGTAGTGCTGCGCTTGATACTGCCCTCCCGCTGCCGCACATACAGCAGCACAAATGGGTCAGCAGCGCCTGTCAACACGTCCGTCTTGGGCAAATCCTCCGCCTCTATCAGCGACACGTCTAGATACCCCACTGGTGTTAGCTCCAGGAAACTGGAGGAGATGGCAGAGGCGCAAGAGGATGGGGAAGAGGAGAGATAACCAAGAGGGTGTGGGTGATGCAAGGAGGTCAGCTGCCTCTGTCAGCACGTCCGTCTTGGGCAGATGTGCCGCCTCTATCAGCGACACGTCTAGGTACCCCACTGGTGTGAGCTCCAGAAAACTGGAAGAGATAGGGGGGAAGGGAGTCATAAAGGGGCGGGGCAGAGAGATTTACTCTGATTTCTGCCTCTGCAACAGGGCATCAGCTGAAGCTCCCCTCCATGAACCTGTGTCAGGGCATTGCTTGAAGCCAATTTCCATGGGGCATTGTTTAAAACCTGTGTGCTGAACACAACCTCCGTCACGGGGTAGTAATCTGGACTTGTAGTAATCGTCCATGAAAGAGTGTCACCTTAGGTAACCCTCCATGAAAAGGCATTACCTGAAATCACCCTCCATGACAGGGTACTACCTGAAGTCACCCTCAACGACAGGGTACACCCATCGCGAGGGCCACACAAGTGAGTCGTCTATTGACAGCCGCAGCACCGTCTGTGGCGAGGGGGTGGGGAGGGATGCAGTGCAATTTATGGGGTGGGGATAAGGGAGGGTTGGGAGGGATGCGGTGGGAAGAGAGAGGGTCAGTGACTGGAAGCGGGGTGGGGAGGGACGGAGTGGGGATGGAAGGGATGGGGAGTGAGGGGGCCGAGATGGATTGGGTGAGGAGGCATGGGTTGAGGGTTGGTCAGGGGTGTGCAGCAAGCAAGATGCATTCGTGGGTGGTAGGAAGGGTTCTTATGCACAAATGCAGAGAGGATTGCATTGCGGCTTAGGAGAAGAAGTAGACTATAGAGAGGCAGCAAGGGCATGTGTGAGAAGGAGAGTGCATGCCATCTTGATGTCTCAAAATCTTTACAAAGCGTGGCATGGCCTTTTCAGGACGACTCGAAATCACCCTCATTTGGAGAGGCGGCGAGAGCATGTGAGAAGGAGTGTGTGTGTCACCTCGATCATCTTTTCAAACCCTGGCATGGCCTTGAGATTGCCGCCCATCACTGACACCTTGAAGTCAAAGAAAGGCTGCCAGAGTAGGGGGTGGGGATTTAGAGGGAGAGGAAGGGAAAATTGCTGAGAGAAAATGCTCCTCGCAGTAAGAAATGCCCCACTTGGTTGAGCAGTGACAGCAGCACACTGCGATTGCCTCAGAGAAATTCACATAACAGCAGAGTCAACACAAATGGCTGAGAAGCAAAGCGAGTCTCTGAAATGGCTTTTCAAAGTTCCAGTGGAAAAAGAATAGTAACAGAGAAATGTATCCAACATACCTGGTTGAGCAGCGACAGCAGCACAGCACCAAAGCCCGGCAGGCGCGGCAGCAGCGGCTTGAGCGTGAGCTTGAGCGTGGCAGCAGCGGCGATGCTGCTCACACGCACATCCACGTCTGGACTCATGGTCGTCTGCACTCTCAGCCTCATTTTACGCTCCTGGACTCGCCCCTCCACCCACTCCACTGCCACCTCTGCTATCACCTCGCCTGCAGCCACCTCCTCTGATGCTCCCTTCTCTGCTGCTCCTTTCTCTTCTGTTGCTCCCTTCTCTGCTGCTCCTTTCTCTTCTGTTGCTCCCTTCTCTGCTGCTCCTTTCTCTTCTGTTGCTCCCTTCTCTGCTGTTCCTCCTCCCTTCCCCTCGCCTTCTCCCTCACCCCCAAGCCCTTGCTCCTTCGCCTCTGCCCCCCTGCTCTTCTCCTCCCAGACTCCTTCCCCCTCTCCTTCTCCGTTCCCCTGCCCTTCCGTTTCCCTCTGCCCCTGCTCCTTTCCGTGCCCCATCCCCTCCCCCTGCCCCTCCCCCATCACCTGCGCCTCTGCACCACCACGAATCCGCCTCTCCGCATGCTCCTTTGCCTCTGCCACCGTTACCACTCCTCCCTCCCCCTCTCCTCCGCCTCCCCCCACACCCCCCTGTGTAGCGCCCTGTGCTGCTGTGCTGCTCTGCGCTTCTCTCTTCACCTGTCCGTTGCCCGGCCCTCCCCTGCGCACCCGCACAGCTGGGGGCGTTGGGAGGGAGAAGAGGAAGAGTGTGGCGGGTGCACACAGCTTGGGGGGTGGTTGAGTTGGGAGAGCGTTTGCCACTCTGCGCCTGCCCCTTGTTCGCACATCCCCTGCGGATTCGCACAGCTGAGGGTTGTTGGGAGGGTGGTTGGGAAGTAAGGATGATGCAGGAATTATAAATGTACATATATATATATATGTTATTCATAGACACCTGTACATAAATATATATGAATATACTACACACCCACGCACTCGTGATGGTGGGAGGGTGGGGCCCCAGGTCCACGAATCGCACGTCAATGCCCGTGATGATGCCGAAGCGGCATCCTGGAACAGGCCCCTCAGGCTGCTCTATGCCGAAGCGGCATCCTGGAACAGGCCCCTCAGGCTGCCCTATGCCGAAGCGGCATCCTGGAACAGGCCCCTCAGGCTGCTCTATGCCGAAGCGGCATCCTGGAACAGGCCCCTCAGGCTGCTCTATGCCGAAGCGGCATCCTGGAACAGGCCCCTCAGGCTGCCCTATGCCGAAGCGGCATCCTGGAACAGGCCCCTCAGGCTGCTCTATGCCGAAGCGGCATCCTGGAACAGGCCCCTCAGGCTGCTCTATGCCGAAGCGGCATCCTGGAACAGGCCCCTCAGGCTGCTCTATGCCGAAGCGGCATCCTGGAACAGGCCCCTCAGGCTGCTCTATGCCGAAGCGGCATCCTGGAACAGGCCCCTCAGGCTGCTCTATGCCGAAGCGGCATCCTGGAGCAGGCCCCTCAGGCTGCTCTATGCCGAAGCGGCATCCTGGAGCAGGCCCCTCAGGCTGCTCTATGCCAAAGCGGCATCCTGGAGCAGGCCCCTCAGGCTGCTCTATGCCGAAGCGGCATCCTGGAACAGGCCCCTCAGGCTGCTCTATGCCGAAGCGGCATCCTGGAACAGGCCCCTCAGGCTGCTCTATGCCGAAGCGGCATCCTGGAACAGGCCCCTCAGGCTGCTCTATGCCGAAGCGGCATCCTGGAACAGGCCCCTCAGGCTGCTCTATGCCGAAGCGGCATCCTGGAACAGGCCCCTCAGGCTGCTCTATGCCGAAGCGGCATCCTGGAACAGGCCCCTCAGGCTGCTCTATGCCGAAGCGGCATCCTGGAACAGGCCCCTCAGGCTGCTCTATGCCGAAGCGGCATCCTGGAACAGGCCCCTCAGGCTGCTCTATGCCGAAGCGGCATCCTGGAACAGGCCCCTCAGGCTGCTCTATGCCGAAGCGGCATCCTGGAACAGGCCCCTCAGGCTGCTCTATGCCGAAGCGGCATCCTGGAACAGGCCCCTCAGGCTGCTCTATGCCGAAGCGGCATCCTGGAACAGGCCCCTCAGGCTGCTCTATGCCGAAGCGGCATCCTGGAGCAGGCCCCTCAGGCTGCTCTATGCCGAAGCGGCATCCTGGAGCAGGCCCCTCAGGCTGCTCTATGCCAAAGCGGCATCCTGGAGCAGGCCCCTCAGGCTGCTCTATGCCGAAGCGGCATCCTGGAACAGGCCCCTCAGGCTGCTCTATGCCGAAGCGGCATCCTGGAACAGGCCCCTCAGGCTGCTCTATGCCGAAGCGGCATCCTGGAACAGGCCCCTCAGGCTGCTCTATGCCGAAGCGGCATCCTGGAACAGGCCCCTCAGGCTGCTCTATGCCGAAGCGGCATCCTGGAACAGGCCCCTCAGGCTGCTCTATGCCGAAGCGGCATCCTGGAACAGGCCCCTCAGGCTGCTCTATGCCGAAGCGGCATCCTGGAACAGGCCCCTCAGGCTGCTCTATGCCGAAGCGGCATCCTGGAACAGGCCCCTCAGGCTGCTCTATGCCGAAGCGGCATCCTGGAACAGGCCCCTCAGGCTGCTCTGTGCCGAAGCGGCATCCTGGAACAGGCCCCTCAGGCTGCTCTGTGCCGAAGCGGCATCCTGGAACAGGCCCCTCAGGCTGCTCTGTGCCGAAGCGGCATCCTGGAACAGGCCCCTCAGGCTGCTCTGTGCCGAAGCGGCATCCTGGAACAGGCCCCTCAGGCTGCTCTGTGCCGAAGCGGCATCCTGGAACAGGCCCCTCAGGCTGCTCTGTGCCGAAGCGGCATCCTGGAACAGGCCCCTCAGGCTGCTCTGTGCCGAAGCGGCATCCTGGAACAGGCCCCTCAGGCTGCTCTGTGCCGAAGCGGCATCCTGGAACAGGCCCCTCAGGCTGCTCTGTGCCGAAGCGGCATCCTGGAACAGGCCCCTCAGGCTGCTCTGTGCCGAAGCGGCATCCTGGAACAGGCCCCTCAGGCTGCTCTGTGCCGAAGCGGCATCCTGGAACAGGCCCCTCAGGCTGCTCTGTGCCGAAGCGGCATCCTGGAACAGGCCCCTCAGGCTGCTCTATGCCGAAGCGGCATCCTGGAACAGGCCCCTCAGGCTGCTCTATGCCGAAGCGGCATCCTGGAACAGGCCCCTCAGGCTGCTCTATGCCGAAGCGGCATCCTGGAACAGGCCCCTCAGGCTGCTCTATGCCGAAGCGGCATCCTGGAACAGGCCCCTCAGGCTGCTCTATGCCGAAGCGGCATCCTGGAACAGGCCCCTCAGGCTGCTCTATGCCGAAGCGGCATCCTGGAACAGGCCCCTCAGGCTGCTCTATGCCGAAGCGGCATCCTGGAACAGGCCCCTCAGGCTGCTCTATGCCGAAGCGGCATCCTGGAACAGGCCCCTCAGGCTGCTCTATGCCGAAGCGGCATCCTGGAACAGGCCCCTCAGGCTGCTCTGTGCCGAAGCGGCATCCTGGAACAGGCCCCTCAGGCTGCTCTGTGCCGAAGCGGCATCCTGGAACAGGCCCCTCAGGCTGCTCTGTGCCGAAGCGGCATCCTGGAACAGGCCCCTCAGGCTGCTCTGTGCCGAAGCGGCATCCTGGAACAGGCCCCTCAGGCTGCTCTGTGCCGAAGCGGCATCCTGGAACAGGCCCCTCAGGCTGCTCTGTGCCGAAGCGGCATCCTGGAACAGGCCCCTCAGGCTGCTCTGTGCCGAAGCGGCATCCTGGAACAGGCCCCTCAGGCTGCTCTGTGCCGAAGCGGCATCCTGGAACAGGCCCCTCAGGCTGCTCTGTGCCGAAGCGGCATCCTGGAACAGGCCCCTCAGGCTGCTCTGTGCCGAAGCGGCATCCTGGAACAGGCCCCTCAGGCTGCTCTGTGCCGAAGCGGCATCCTGGAACAGGCCCCTCAGGCTGCTCTGTGCCGAAGCGGCATCCTGGAACAGGCCCCTCAGGCTGCTCTGTGCCGAAGCGGCATCCTGGAACAGGCCCCTCAGGCTGCTCTATGCCGAAGCGGCATCCTGGAACAGGCCCCTCAGGCTGCTCTATGCCGAAGCGGCATCCTGGAACAGGCCCCTCAGGCTGCTCTATGCCGAAGCGGCATCCTGGAACAGGCCCCTCAGGCTGCTCTATGCCGAAGCGGCATCCTGGAACAGGCCCCTCAGGCTGCTCTATGCCGAAGCGGCATCCTGGAACAGGCCCCTCAGGCTGCTCTATGCCGAAGCGGCATCCTGGAACAGGCCCCTCAGGCTGCTCTATGCCGAAGCGGCATCCTGGAACAGGCCCCTCAGGCTGCTCTATGCCGAAGCGGCATCCTGGAACAGGCCCCTCAGGCTGCTCTATGCCGAAGCGGCATCCTGGAACAGGCCCCTCAGGCTGCTCTATGCCGAAGCGGCATCCTGGAACAGGCCCCTCAGGCTGCTCTATGCCGAAGCGGCATCCTGGAACAGGCCCCTCAGGCTGCTCTATGCCGAAGCGGCATCCTGGAACAGGCCCCTCAGGCTGCTCTATGCCGAAGCGGCATCCTGGAACAGGCCCCTCAGGCTGCTCTATGCCGAAGCGGCATCCTGGAACAGGCCCCTCAGGCTGCTCTATGTCGAAGCGGCATCCTGGAACAGGCCCCTCAGCTATGTTGGAAAAGTCGCGCCCAGCGTATTATACGCAAGCGTATATACGCTTGCGTATAATACGGGATGCGCTGAATGGGTGACTCAAGAATACGTGAAAAATACGCTGCCCGGGCAGGTAAAACTTTTTTCCGGTCAGGCAGGACTAGGAACCTCATTAGTCGCACTCGCTGGAGTGCCATTGGGGGCGTCATCGTAGAGCTGCGAGGCGATCGAGAGAACTGGAGAAAGAGAATCACGACGCGACTGATGAGATGTTTTAGGGTTGGGAGGGATTATCTTTTGTCATCGATGAGAGTTTTGATAGGCTGGTTGGAGACATTCGTGTAGCTGAGGTGGAGTTGCGGGGTAACGGACGGTGCAATGCGGTTGATTTGAATGCCCCCTTGCCAAATTTGTGTGTTGGTGGGGTCGACGAATTGTGATGTTGCGAACAATTTGACGTTGCATTTGCAAAATTCGTGCACACAATGTGTGTCGCGACGAATTTTCCAATTTCGTGCGCGAACTTTTTCTTTTTCTTTTTTGGCCGGGCAGCCCGGATTTTTCCGAACGAATGTACGTGCGTATTGCGTATAGCGTATATTCGTCTACGAATATACGCTGTACGCATGCCCAGGCTGGCGACTTTTCCAACATAGCCCCTCAGGCTGCTCTATGCCGAAGCGGCATCCTGGAACAGGCCCCTCAGGCTGCTCTATGCCGAAGCGGCATCCTGGAACAGGCCCCTCAGGCTGCTCTATGCCGAAGCGGCATCCTGGAACAGGCCCCTCAGGCTGCTCTATGCCGAAGCGGCATCCTGGAACAGGCCCCTCAGGCTGCTCTATGCCGAAGCGGCATCCTGGAACAGGCCCCTCAGGCTGCTCTATGCCGAAGCGGCATCCTGGAACAGGCCCCTCAGGCTGCTCTATGCCGAAGCGGCATCCTGGAACAGGCCCCTCAGGCTGCTCTATGCCGAAGCGGCATCCTGGAACAGGCCCCTCAGGCTGCTCTATGCCGAAGCGGCATCCTGGAACAGGCCCCTCAGGCTGCTCTATGCCGAAGCGGCATCCTGGAACAGGTTGCTCCTGTGTGCCTGAGGGGCCTGTTCCAGGTCGCCCCTCAGGTTGCTCTATAGCGTGCTCCTCAAGTGGTCACCCCTAAAACAGGTCCCACGCACCACCCAGCACACAGCACAACGCGGCACACACCAGTGATAGTTGGCGGGTCCGGTCCCAGGTCCACAGATCGCACGTCGATGCCCGTGATGATGCCAAAATGATACCCCTCGAACAGACCCCTCAGGCTGCTCTTCAGCATTTCCGTGCTTGCTTTGCGCAGCTCTGGCCACATCTGCCGCACTGCCGCATTCACCCACGCCAGCTGCCAGAAGTGACTCCACATGCACCCAATAATTGCAAAGAATGCACAAAATAAACAAAAAATGCACTCCAGGATTTTCGAGGCGCCAAAACCTGATATGCAACCTACGATGCATGAAAAATTAGCGCCCTTAGGTCACCTAAGGGTGGAACGCCGATGACTGCGCCCGTTACCTGAAAGGTATGTAGTTTCTGGCATGAGGACGTGCAATTGCCTTCGCTGAATCCTGCTAGTCGGAGAATTTCGTCCACTGACAATTCCCAGTCCATCCGCCGCAACACAACGGCCTGCACGCACCCCAAAACGAATTTGTACATCAATTACAAATAAAGCTATTTTCCCCTCCCACTTGAGTTATTTTCCTGAACAACTCGCACTGTACCTTCTTTTCTCTCTGCCGCGCATTTCTCATTGCAAGCGAAGAGTACAGTAGCGAGCACGCAATCCCCAACACAAAGCCATAGATCATCTTGACGCCCATTCCCAGCCGTCCGATCCACAACCCCAGCGGCATCAGCACCAGCACCAGCACCGCAGCAAAGCACACAGAAGCGACCTGCGCGCTCGCCAGGGCTGGGGGAAGCCGCCGGCGCGCCTCGCCGTGAATCGCGGAGAGGTGGGCGCGGAGAGAATTGCGCATGGCCTGATAGTACGACTCCATGCCTTCGACCGCTGAGCAGAGTGCTTTCTTACGCGGGTACTCAGTAATTCCGCACGACTAGGAATTACTACTCCATGCTGATACTAGCAGACCGAGGTGAAGAGTCGAATGCGAAGGAAAAAGCGTGCCTGGTGTGACTACGCCATAAACGAGCGTACAGGGGTGAGAAGCGTAGCTGCTGGCCGAAGATCGAGTGTGAGAGAGATGAGATGCCATGCTTGTAGCGGCTGGCTGTGTATGGGTCGGTGCATGCGGCGCGGAAACACACACCGCACCGCACTCTTGCTTCAACTTCTTCAAGCCGCAGCTGGCATTCAATCGGCCATTTTCAGATGCATGCAGCTTAGTCGAGACGCGTTATTCAGGTGCATGCCAGGTTGCTTACACTTTTCTCAGGTTAAAAAATGTCTCTCGTAAATTAACACGCAGTTCAAGATTCGATTAAAATTGGCACAAAAGGTCTGAAATAGATGCAATTTCGGGCTACGCAAATTGGAATCGGAATGGTTGGCTCTCGATGCTGCATTTTCTGACGTAACTCAGTGTAATGATTGCATTTTGTCCAATTTATACGCAAATTTCTGCTTTGCACCAACTCATTTCGAACGAATCTAATGCTAGATCTGTTGTACTTTTGACGCAGATGACGGACGCTGCGCATGGCAAATCAGCAAACCCTTCGTGAGTGTTTGTATATTTTGCCTCTACCAAACTAAGTTTGCCGTACGTGCATATTGAAATAGGTGGTATTCAACGGCCTTAATTACGTGGCATTAAATATACATGTAACATACGATATATCCTTAATAGCGGTAGGGGTAACTCACTCTTAACACTCGGGCATATTTATCGTGTTTCGGACTACCCTTTTCAAGCAATGCACGTCCCACTAGAGTTTGCTGATTTGACCCGCGAAGCGTCCGCCACCTGCGCCAACAGTACAAACGATTTAGCATTACAATCCGTTCAAAAAGATTTGGTGCGAAGCAAAAAATTGCGTAGAAACTGGGCAGAAATGCAATCATTGCACTGAGTTACGTCAGAAAATGCAGCATCGAAAGCCAATCATCCCGATTCCGATTTGCGTATTCCGAAATTCCATCTATTTCAGACCTTTTGTGTCAATTTTTATCGAATCTTGAACTGCGTATTCATTTACTTAACCTGAGAAAAGTGTACGCAACCTGGCATGCACCTGAATAACGCGCCTCGACTAAGCTGCATGCACCTGAAAATGGCTGGCATTCAATGGAGATGGCGGAGCGGAGACGGAGAGAAGAACAACTGCGAATGGCGGTGGTGATGGCGACACTTGAGGGGCTAACGTGCGGCTCGAGCTGCATGCCGCCGAGTGCGCTTTCTACGACACTCGTCACATGCCGCACAATTGAGTGACTGAGGCGACTACGTATAATTGGAGAACTACACCTAATAACGAAATGGGCTATCCACTAACTATGTATGCAATAGCCTGCAATTTGCAAGCCAAAGGTACACCTTTGCAGGCAAGAAGAACATCGCACAAGTGCCTCCTAAATTCCAACCTTAACTCAGTCAAATCTCTGGGCGGGTTTACAGCTTCAAGGGTGTACTCAGGGTGCCGAAGGTTAATCGCCGGCGACGCAGTGGTTTTGAAATTAAAATAAATAATATGGATGGTGTGCTTGGAATGGAAGAATGCAGGTATGGCTCAGTGCCTTGCACCCGACTGCTGGGACATGGAGGGTGAGCCTGCAGCAGGGAGAAACAGATGGTGCGCAGATGGAGGGAGACATCAGGAGATCAGATGGAGGAACAGATGGCGCGCAGTGGTTTCGGAATTTAAATAAAGAATATGGATGGTGTGCTTGGATTGGAATGGAAGAATGCAGGTGTGGCTCAGTGCCTCGCACCCGACTGCTGGGACATGGAGGGTGAGCCTGCAGCAGGGAGAAACAGATGGCAGGAGACAGGGGCGAGCACGGAAAGCAGGTTATGAATGAAGTAGAGAGAGCACAAGAAGCTGGTTCCTAAGGGGAGTTCGGGAGAAAATATTAAAGTGGTGGGACGTGGTTTTGTACAGTTTAGCTACTGCACCTGATGTGGACAGCAGCATAGTATGGCATGGCATGGTATACCTGACGCAGGATGGTTATTGGCAGAGTGGCTGGTCCCTGAAGCTGACTGAGCTTGCTGGGAGGGCAGAATCTTTTGAGGCGCCTTTTAAAGTCATAGCATACATACCTGGTGCAGACAGCAGCATGGCGTACCTGACGCATGATGGTTATTGGCTGAGTGGCTGGTCCCTGAAGCTGACTGGGCCTGCTGGGAAGGCGGCATGGCAGCTGCTGCTGCCACTATGCTCTCAAGCCCACCGTCCCACTGCCAGCAGGTGTGTGTGAGGGAGGAGCATGCGGGAGGGGAGGGGGGACATTTGAGTCGACTAAACAGTCACATTGCTGCTGCTGCCACTACGCTCTCCAGCTCACCGTCCCACTGCACGAGGGTGAGTGGGAGGGGCATGAGGGAGGGGAGGGGGGGGGGGGGGGGGGGGGGGGGGAAGAGCGGGAGAGGATAGATGACATGGTGACTTATGAGTTGATAGGGGGCACACGGTTGAATGAAGTCACGTTCGAGTCAACTCATGAATCGATTTTCAACTCATGAATTCACAGTAGGCTTCGAAGGCGAGTGAAATTAGAGATGGGGACGGGATGAGGAGGAAAAAGGGGAATGCATGATAAGATTCATGATGAGTGCAATTCAGCCCGCGCCGTGCTCCCATTCCCCAACTCACACTCCCGCCCCACCCAACTCCGTGCCCCACCCCACTCCATGCCCAACCCCACTCCATGCCCAACCCCACTCCATGCCCAACCCCACTCCATGCCCAACCCCACTCCATGCCCAACCCCACTCCATGCCCCACCCCACTCCATGCCCAACCCCACTCCATGCCCCACCCCACTCCATGCCCCACCCCACTCCATGCCCAACCCCACTCCATGCCCCACCCCACTCCATGCCCCACCCCACTCCATGCCCCACCCCACTCCATGCCCCACCCCACTCCATGCCCCACCCCACTCCATGCCCCACCCCACTCCATGCCCCACCCCACTCCATGCCCCACCCCACTCCATGCCCCACCCCACTCCATGCCCCACCCCGCTCCATGCCCCATCCCACTCCATGCCCCACCCCAGTCCACGCCCCACCTCACCTCACACTGCACGCCCATGTGTGACAAATTCCCCCCTTCTCCCCCGCCCCCTGCCCCATTCATGGCATCCAGCTGCGCCTGCAGCTGCTCCATCGTCAGTTCCCCCAGCCCCTCCCCTCCGCCTCCCCCCATTCCCCCGCCCCCTCCTCCCATTCCCCCCTCGTCAACCCCTCCCCCTCCTGCTCCCCCTCCCCCAGCCAGCCCTCCCCCAGTGCCTCCCCCAGCGGGTCCCCCGAAGGGGGAGTGGGGCAGGTGGCGGGAGAGGAGGAGGCGGGCGAGGTCAGTGGGGAGGGAGGCCATGTCCGGGTGCAGGGCGGATGCTGCTCCTAGTGACGCCGATGCTGATGGCGTGGCGATTGGTGATGCTGTGCTGTGATGGGCCGTCTGGAGACAGGGGGAGCAAGAGGGGAAACAGGGCGGAGAGAGGAAGAGGTCAGTGGGGAGAGAGGCCATGTCCGGGTGCAGGGCGGATGCTGCTCCTAGTGATGCCGATGGTGATGGTGCCGTGCTGTGATGGGCCGTCTGGGAGCAAGAGGGGAGTGGGGGAGAAGGCAGAGAGGCGGGCGAGGTCAGTGGGGAGGGAGGCCATGTACGGGTGCAGGGCTGCTGCTGCTCCTAGTGACGCTGATGGTGATGGCGTGGCCATGGGCGATGCTGTGCTGTGATGGGCCGTCTGGTAGACAGGGGGGAGAGGGGGAGAGAGGGAGAGGATTTTTTTAGTTCACTAAAAAATTTACTCCTATTGCTGCTGATGCTAGTGTTGATGGCGATGGCGTGGCGATGGGCGACGCTGTGCTATGATGGGCCGTCTGGGAGACAGGATTGAGGGGGAAAGAGAGCGGAGAGGGCAGAGAGTGGGGAGAGGGGTGAGAGGGGGGAGAGGGGAAGAGGGTGGAGAGAGAATAGAGGTGGAGATGGTGGGGGCAGCAGGATGGAAGAGGAGGGTGAGAGGATCGAAGGGGAGAACGTGTCCTGTAGAGTAGAGAATAACATGGGTCTGGAAGGGAGTGTTTAACATGGTTTACAGCTGACATGAGCAATCATGAGAGCTGCATCAGCAATCATGAGAGCTGCATCAGCAATCATGAGAGCTGACATCAGCAATCATGAGAGCTGACATCAGCAATAATGAGAGCTGACATCAGCAATCGTGAGAGCTGACACGAGCCGGCCGTAGACTGACATAATAAGGCGTTACCGTTGCCACGAGCAGGCATGCTCACTCACATCGCTGGTTGACCAATCGTGAGACTGGGAGCAGGACGGCGATGGTGTTTGGGTCAACTCAGAAGGCGGTTGATTATTCGACTTTAAAGGGGGTTTTTTAGTCAACTTAAAAGGAGGTCTTGAGCTTTGAGTCAATTCAGAAGGCAATAGAGCTCACATCAGTGGTAGACCAATCGTGAGACTGTGAGCAGGACGGAGATGCCTGTCGAAACGATCCTCCGGCAAGGGCAGCCACAGCCACAGCGGCAGCACCACTACCAGCAGAACCACCAGAAGCGCCCGCACCAGCAGAAGCACCAGCAGCAGAAGCACCAGCAGCAGCAGCACCGCCACCCATAGCAGCAGCATTTCCTCCTCCACCTGCCCCGGCGCCAGCAGCAGTACCAGGGGCGGCGGGGACTAGCAGCCCTCCCAGTGCTGCCATCTGAGCCGCACAGAAGTCGGCGGGTGAATCCGAGCCGTCCATCTCCGCCGTGTCCTGCTCTATTGCTGCTAGCTTGGCCGATAGCAGCTGGGGGAATGATGGGGAAATGAACGGGGAGGAGGTTGGCAGAAAGGAAGAGGGGTGAGGCTGGCAGGCAGGAAGGAGATGGGGGAGGGGTTAGGGGAGCGAAAGAATGGAGAAGAGGAAGAGAGAGGGCAAAGAACATGGAGGGAGTTGAATGGGCGAATTGAGTGGGCAAGATGTGTATATGTGGGATCGTTCCTTCCATTTGCTGGGCTAGAGCAGAGCGGTACACAGGGAAGGCGAAGAAAGAAGCTGAAGAGAATGGGGAGGATGGAGAGTGGGCTCACCTCAACCTGCAACTGCAGCGATCGAACGTAGTTGATGATCTCGTCCAGCATCACTGCCTTGCCCGTCGCCTGTTATGATGCATGCCATTTATGCACACCACACCATACATGCCACCATATATGCACATCATACATGCAAATCATGCATGCACACCATGCATGTACACCATGCATGTACACCATGTATACACCCATTCAAACATCACATCACATTACCGTACAGACCACCATGCATACATCGGAAGGAGGGAAGCGAGCAAGGGACAAGAATGACCATTCAGATGCTACTCTGACCCAGCACGAGGGCCTTGCATGGCTTGCATGGCGTGGCATATCCGATCGCTGAGGCGTCTAGACAAACACTGGTGTTGCATGGCAGATTTGGTCGGGCACTTCGAGGAACAAGGCTCCGAGGGTGGAATGGAGAGCACGGGTTAAAAATAGGGGATACGAGGCACTTACCTTGGTGCACGTGGGAACAAGGCTCTGGAGCACTTTCATCCGATCACTGATCTTCTCACGTCGCACCTGCACAGCACCACAGTGTGTCCAGGGTTCAAGTGAGCACAGCACGTCAAGGGGACACAAATCAGCAGAGCAGCATGCAACGTGCAGGTCAAGCGCTCATTCTTCACCCCATCATTTTTGCATAGCCCTAAGACCTTACCTTGGCCCTGTCTCCCCAACCCACCCTCTCATTCCACCCCACCCTCCACCCCACCCCAACCCCCTCTTCTGCTAGGCTGTAGCTGTCAGAAGCCACACCTTGCCCCACGCATTGGTCAATATTGCCAATACTGTCCACCTCCTCCCCTCTTTCCCCAACCAACCCTCCAGCGCCATCACCCCCACCCGTCCCCGAGTGCTCACACTTGAATAGACTCAAAAGCCATCTCCCCCCAACATTGTCACTCACAGTACTGCCATGCCACTCACCCGCTCTGCAAGGCTGTGGCCGTCAGTGGCCTGCCCGAGCCTCGCCCGCACGTGAATGTAGTCCTAGGGATTGACGACCCCATCAACCTCCCCCCCCCACCTCCCCCACAGCCCACTCCCCCCAAAAGACGTCACGCCACTCACCCTCTCTGCCAGGCTGTGGCTGTCAGTGGCCTGCCCTCGCCTTGCCCGCACGTGAATAAAGCCCTGGCTTGACGTTTCCGTCGCCCCCACTTTCACCCAACCCTCCCATCCCCCCAACCCCAGCCCCCCTAAGGACGCACTCACCCTTTCAGCAAGACTATGGCTGTCAGTGGCCTGCCCTCGCCTCGCCCGCACGTGAATGTAGTCCTGGCTTGATGTCTCCACTGCCCCCGCCTGCATGTTTCCCCCCATCCCCCCGCCCTGCATGCTGTACCCGCCCCCCGGGCTCCCCACCCACGCCCCCGCGCTTCCCCTCCCCCCGCTGCCCGCGCTCCCTGCGCCTCCCCCGCCCCCTCCTCGGCCCCCCGGGCGCGCCCCGCCGTCCAGCGCGTCGTCTGGCTCCCGCTGCTCTTAGGGGGATAGGGTGGGCGCGGAGGGGACATGGGGGAAAAGTGGAAGGGCACATGTGCGGGAGCGGGGAGAGACATGAGGAGGAGAGGGGAGGCGGTGAGTTGTGGGGCACGTGGGGAATAAGGGGGGAAAATAGAACTAAGGTAAGGAGGAATCGGAAAGGGGGGGTAAGAAAGTGCTGCTGACTGGTATGCTGGAAGGCACCTGATATTGAGGCGAAACCTTAAAAAAGCCCTTACCTTGCTGCCTCCGCCGCTCCTGCCTCCCCCCAGCCCCGCCACGTCAGCACCCGCCCCCACTCCCCCCGGCGCTCTGCGCTTCTTCCTCTTGTGCCCCGCGCCCGCCCCATGCTGCCCGCTCTCCCCCTCCGACTCAGACGACTCCCCCTCGCCCCCGCGCCCCTCCATTCCGCTTCCCCCCGCGCCCCCGCTCATGTCCTCCGCCACAGGGGGAGGGCAGCTGCTAGTGCGGGAGAGCTTAGTGCGCTCCCTTACCAAAGCCGCCATTGATGGTACAGTTGACGATAAATATCCCGCCATGCTCCCACTGCCCATGCCCCCACTACCCATGCTACCCATACTTCCGCTCCCCATGCTCCCCAGGAGCCGATGCAAGTGCAATTCCCGGTCCGGGCTCGTTGCGACCGAGCCTACTGCCGAGCTTGTTGCCGAGCCTGACGCCGCGGCTATGCTCTGGTACGGCAGACTGAGCCCCACGTGCGGGGAGACGTCTGGTGACATGGCATCGGGGAGCAATCGGTACAGCCTCTCCAGCTCTGCCACGTCACCAATGCTGGCGAGAAGCGCGCCAAGTGGCGGCGCGCTACTGGTCCGCGAGAGGGGGTTGTTGTCGTCCAATCGGCCGTCTAGCTGGGCGGCTAGCAGGCTTAACTGCGTCTGCAGGTTCATACCAGGTAACCCGCCGCCGCTGCCACCGCCACTGCCGCTGCCGTCGCTGCTACTGTTCAATGCAGCAAGCCCAGCCATTCCCCCCATTCCTGCCATTCCCGCCATTCCCGCCATTCCCCCTCCCCCAGCATTCCCCAACGCCCCCATGCCGCCTCCACCGCCAGCAAAGCCGCCCTGCATTCCCCCCAGCCCTGCAAGTCCCGCTGCGCCCCCCCCTGCTGCTCCCCCGCCCGCCCCTCCACCCATCGCCCCCATCATCAGCTGCTGCTGAATGCTCGCGGGCAGACTGCCTCTCGGCCAATGCCCCAGCGCGGCTGCCAGCGACCCGGAAAAGTTTCCTCTCGGGCTGCCCAGCTTGCCCGCAGCGGCGGCGTTTCCTTTCGGCGACGGAAGCGGCAAAGGCGGCACGCCGTGCCCCCCTGCTCCCCGCGCGGATATCCCCGCTTTAGACGGATCCACTGTAAGCGATTGTAGATGGCCGGCGCCACCAGCACCAGCAACCCCTCCTGACCACCCTGCCAGTCCCGACCCGCCCCGAACAAGACCACCCCCAGGTATACCTCCCCTAGACCCGCCCCCGCGCCAGCATCCCCGCCTGCCGCCAGCGCAGCAGCAGCAGCCGCAGCAGCCGCGGGGGAAAAGCCGGGGAACGCGCCTGCTTGCGCCGCGGGCGGCGCATTGGCGGAAGCGGATGGGTACGGGGGAGGGGTGACGTGGAATCCGAGATCCGCGGCGGCTTGGCTGAGGCGCGCGGCGCTGAGACTGAGCGTGCGTTGCTGGCTGAGGTTGCTCTTGGTGCGATTAGGGTTCGCCTCCTCGTCCCGGCTGAAGCGGGATGGTGAGTGCACGGCTGCATGTCGCAGCGGGGGTGGGGGGGGGGGATACGGGGGAGGATAAGAGCGGAGCAGAATGGCTGAGATTGAGCGTGCGCTGCTGGCTCAGGTTGCTCTTGGTGCGACTAGGGTTCGCCTCCTCGTCCCGGCTAAAGCGGGACGGTGAGTGCACGGCTGCATGTCACAGCGGGAAGGGGGGAAGATACGGGGGAGGATAAGAACGAAGCAGAATGGCTGAGGCTGAGCGTGCGCTGCTGGCTGAGGTTGCTCTTGGTCCGATTAGGGTTCGCCTCCTCGTCGCGGCTGAAGCGGGATGGTGAGTGCACGGCTGCATGTCGCGGCGGGAGGGGGGGTGGAGAAGGGGGGTGAGGGGAAAAGGTGGGGGTGATGTTTCAGTCGACTCAGAAGTCTTCTGAGGTTGCTCTTGGTCCGATTAGGGTTCGCCTCCTCGTCCCGGCTGAAGCGGGATGGTGAGTGCACGGCTGAATATCGCGGCGGGAGGAGGGGGGGAAGGAAAGGAAGGGGGAAGGGGGGGAAGGTAGGGGTGACTTATGAGTCGACTCAGAAGTCGGCTGAGGTTGCTCTTGGTCCGGTTAGGGTTCGCCTCCTCGTCTCGGCTAAAGCGGGATGGTGAGTGCACGGCTGCATGTCGCAGCGGGGGAAGAGGGGGAGGGCGGTGGGGAGGGAGGGGTGGGGAGAACGGAGCAGAACGAACGAGACTATAAGTTGGGAAATGAAGAACGAGCTGTGGAAAGGAGAAAGGAGAGATCTTATACAAGAGAAGCCACACGAAACTGGAAACTGAAATGAGCAGGCCAACGGAAAATGGAACGCCTGCAGAGTTCCTGGCGTGTCTCGAGGTGCGGGGCGCCGGGAAGAACGGAGACCTACCTCGAGGCAAGTAGCCCCACTGGAACTGACTTTCGAGTCAACGCAAACGTCACGTCGAGGAGCGAGGCGCCGGGAAGGACGGACGGAGACCTACCTCGCGGCGAGTAGCCCCATTCGAACGCCATGTCGGGCGGCATCTGCGCGCCGTCTCTGCTCATCCCTCCCGCTCCCACGCCGCCGGACGGGCCGCCTGACATTCTTCCTTCGACTGGTTTCGCTGTCGGTCGTGAAAAATCTCTCGTAACGCACGCTCGGAACGAACCCTTGGAGTAACTTCGCGGTACTTCGTTGGCGGTTAAGCGGTGCGGTCAAGTGCCGCAACGGCGAGTAGTACTAGTGCTGTGAGTTGCTATGTCTGCACAATCACGCATTGAAAGCATTCTCCAGAAAGTTGCGACTCTCAAGTAACTAAGTTGCTTAAGCGACCACCTTCTGGAGACTGTTTTTAGGCGTGAGAGGCGGCACTCGTGAGTTGTCCAATCGAAGCATCTGGGTAAGTATGTGCCGATGAGACCAGATGCGTGCATATGGAATAAATAGTCAACTATTGGCCACGTCACGAAGCGCAACTGCGACGGGAATGACACGTGTCAACCTGATACTAGAAGTGTTTTTTGACAGATGTCAGAAAATAGGTACTCATAAATTGTTGACCGGCGAGGAACTCGGAGGCATACCAGGCTGACGGATGCGAGTATTACAGAATCAGATTGCGAGATCGACACTGAACAAGGGGGTTCCCTAAATGAGCCATGGAGCAGAGGGCACGGAAACAAGAGACGGATCTAGGATAACCGCACTTCTGAGAACCGTCCGTCACTTCAGAAACGCCTAGCGTCAGATGTACAGTGAAAGGTTGCGCTTTAAATTGCGAGGATGTGGTGGGAGTGAAAGGCAAGAGCGAGGGAAGCTTGGGTTGGGCTTGCTTTGCTCTGCATTGCAGACAGTCCCGAGATGAGCGCACCTAGGCATTGTCGTGTGGATGGGCGATGTCGTTGCCCTGGGGATTGCTGGAATCAAATGGTTGTGGTGATGAGAGAATCGCGTGACGCGATGATGGGGGGAGCAGCAAGGTGCAGCTGGCATTCATATGGAAACGCGTTCTTTTCGGGTCAATCTGGCAATGAAGCGGCTGGAAATCTCAAGGCCCAGATTTTCGTCGTGTGTAATCATATTGACGCGGAAACAAGCAATAGAATTATGCCACTACACGTACAGTACATCGGACCGGAGCCTCCACAAGAACACTTTACACAGCCCAGTGCGGCACACCCTTGGCCAACAGCCCATGGTTAAATTAAAACCGAAGGCTGATTAGGATGGTTTTAGATTCAAAGTTACTCTCCATACGAGTAGTGGAAAGCAAATAGAGTCCCGACATCCACGCATCCATCATTCATAGCCCCCTGCTTTTCAAGTGTCTGATCAAGCCTAGAAACGTTTAGGGTGTCGCGTGAGCCTAGACCTGAAATTAATGTAGTTTTTCATGGAAGATCGTTTGTGCGGGGTTGACCAATGTATGCAACTTTCATCAGTAAGGGGATCAAAGAAGCGTCTAGATGATGAGAACTGTAGCTTGCTGTGTGTACAGAATCGAATCTGCATCTCGGATCCGGATTTTGCTTCGTGAAATGAGCACAAAACTCAAGTTCCACCGTACAAGGTCGCTCAACTTCAATGTACAATAAGGGAGAAAGATCTATATCAGAATACTAAACATATATATCAGTGCCAAAGAGAAAGCAAGTCACTTCTCTTCTTCGAGCTTATTGGCCAAGCTCACGAAAAAAAGAGCTGAGTTGCTGCAACCCAATAAGAGCAAGGTCCGCAGCCAAAAATACCACAAGCTGAAACAAGGCAGATGCAAGGATACCATTAGATAGCTGAAATTTCAGACTGACAAAATAAGCCTGTAAACCATAGAGCTACTACTTACCAGTCGGCCAAAAAAGAGGGCACGGTACTGCCACCCCTCAGTTTTGGCAAGGCGGCGTTGAGGATCAGTCCAGCTGCAGAGAGAGAAACCAGGAAAACATTAGGGCGGGGCCAGCACGTTCATGAATCACTATTGTACTCGCAATCCGTCGTGGCGCAAAAGGATTACAGACGGTTCAAAACGGCTCCCCATATTCGCCGTTTTACACCGTGAAGCAACGAGAGTAATCCCTCAGAATGGATTGTAAGTGAACCGTAAACAAACGCGCTGACCCCGCCCTTTGTCAGGACTTCCACAATAACTGACACAACATCAGAAAATTTGAACTTACCCAATAAATTCAGACATGCCTCCAATGCCCGCCAGCTGAAGGGGAACTGGTCCCTCCCGCTCAAAGTCCTGAAATTGTGAGCCAACACAGAGCAACTCAGTGGCAAGGTTATCATAAGGGCTCAGTGAGCTGAAACGCATTGCATCATTGAACATGTTCATATTGACGTCAAGAATGTGAGAAGGTAGTAGTGAGCATGGAATGCAGAAACGTAAATTCGGGAAAATAGCAGAGGGGGCACCAAAAGGGATGTCAAAGTGAAAACTATTTCTAGGTACCTCGTCACTGGCAGTGTCGAAGCCACCAGTTATCCAATAGATATTTCTGTAGCCAGCCTTGTAAAGGTGCTCACATGCAGCAAGAGATCTGCAAGTGTGAAATGGCAGCACGGAGAGTTCAGTGTTTGAGCCGGTTAACGGCTACTGCAGCAAAAGACCGCAAAATACACCTTGACTTTGGAACAAGGAAAAGCGCCTACCTCAAACCCTTCTGGCACGCAACAATAATGTTGGCACTCTTGGGAATGTTAGCCACAACGTCAGCCATAAACCGCCTGGAAAACAGGAAGGAAAGTGTCTCATATGAACACCACAGAAAGAACCTTTTTCTAACACAGAAAGTAACAGGTTGCTCTGGAAGGGTTGGGAAGGAACCTGCAAGCAGAGCTGCCTATGCCAGGATACGAATGTCATTTATTCTTCACCAACTAAGGTTAAGGATGTTACTCGTAAGGAGCGACTTACTCGTTTCTCTTGTTGACTGACGCTCCAGACCACCATCCTCCTGAAATGGCACAAAAAAGTGACAGCAGATGGCAAAGTGTACCACCAGACGTGAGCGTATGTGGCTTGTGAACCACAGCAGAAATTCAACTGATTCCTCCGAAAATACATCGTGAGCTAGTCCCAACTCAGATTTGTGTGTTCAGTATTGCGGAAGTGTGTGAAGGCAACTCGCTTTTCTTGAAAATGGATAAAATAAAATTGAATGTGTTCCTCCCAACAAAACTGAACACCCCAAGGCATACTCACCCATCATGAAGGTCATGAATTTCTGGGACAAGACCCCTGGGCTGACACTGTTGTCGATGTCGAAGGCAGGAATCCACAGCGAGCCTTTTACCCAAGCCTGAAGCCGATGAAATCAAGAGCGGGTTGAAAAAGCAAGGGAACGACTTAAAATTGCGAAAACAGCTTTCTAATTTACAAATTCCTGGTATGCAAAGTTGTCAGAACAAAAAGAACTGACAGATTGCAATCCGACTAACCTTGTTATGCTGATACGACGGCCGAACGTCAAGAAGAACATAGTCGGACAGCTGGTAAGTGTACCCCGCTTCCTTCGCAGACAGTGACTTCACCTTGCCCTCGGCAATCTGCAAAAACAGCAATTTTAGCAAACTTTTTCTGGATATGCAGAAGACAGGCATCGGGAAGACAGTTAATTGACACGCACCTGAGAAATCCCTCCACCGTTTCTCAGCGTTCGCGAACTCCACCATCTCCTCCTTCAAATCGGTCGCTGCCACAATTTGCAGAATCTGAGTAGGAAACCAAAAGCACAAAACGCAAATGCCGAAGGTTTGGCGATCGATAAACATCGCAATGTTGAGCGACACGATACATAAATGCATGCCTTCGAGGCCAAGCTCTTCTAACTATGACGTACTCTTCTCTGAAAGCTGCGGCTTGATGCGTTAGCCGAGGCACGTCTAGAACGAATCTGGAGGGCAGGAAGGCCATAAACGCTTGACGACGCGCACGAGAGTGAGGATTTTCCTGCAGCTGTGCACGCGCTGGGAACGACCAAAGACGCGCCGCTAGCTAGCGCCGCCATTCTGACCGTCCTAAAAAGCACCCGATAGAGCAGGGACTGGAGGGGAAGATCGTGGGTGAAAGGCCAGCTATAGCAGCGAGGATGCCGTTGTGCTTTCTAAGAACTGCCAATTACAATCCGAGTAATCCGGAGCTGATCTGTGAAAGCTGTCTGTGCTCACAGAGAGGCAAATTTGAAACTGGGAACAACAACGGCAACATGTAGGAAAAGGAATGGGGGTGGGTTGATGGAGAGTCAGGCAAGGTCACTGCAGCAAGCGAAAAGGGCTTCCCCTTGGTTCTGGTTGGGCAGGCTCGGATTCAGCCAAGGAAGTGAAATCCAAAATGTCCGACGTGGCGAAGACTCATACCTGGAGATGTTTCCAGGGCGATTCGCTTTGGAACTTTTCTCTGCCACGTTGGCACAGAATTTCACAGCGCACCAATGAAAGAATCTCCAGCGACCAAGTGTTGCGACAACAGCACATTCTTAGTCCCGATAAGAAAATGTATTCACTCTACAGTCCGCGGCAACTTATCACAAACGCGTAACTTTGAAATTTCTCAAGGTTTTCCCCCACCCCCTCCCCCTCCCCCCGCTTTCAGATTCACCAAGCCTCATATTCACCTTCGGCATTGCTGACTTAGGGCGGGCTCGGGTCTATCCTACTCCTTAGCAGCAGGTCGTTTCCCATTTGCTGCTCAATCTCGCACTCCCGCAATTCCTCCGAAGGCTCTTTAGTGATGGCATCGGCTCTAGCCCCTGCTTCACGCCTCCACAGCGCTTTCCTGGGCAAGGATCTCAGGTGGGCAGGGAAGCCTCGAATTTCAATGTCACCGGATTTCGATACCGTTGAGCTACTTTCAGAGTTGTAGTCCCTTGCTTGAATCATGTCGCCGTCGTCTGCATGACATCTCAATGTCCGTAAGCCGGCGTTGATTCGCTGGCATGCGACATGATTCGCTGGCATGCGACATGATTCGCTGGCATGCGACATGACACCCCCGATGCTCTGTGCCTGGCGTGGCAGGCGAGGATTCACCTGGATTTCCGTCCGTCCGGCGTCGCTGGGCCCGCGCGCGTGGAATTGTGAACCCCAGCGTGCCGTCCGTGTCTCGTCACGAGTGAGTGGATGACGAAAATTCCGGGCCACTAGAACAGACGCAACAGGGACAGATGCTCCTTGGTGCCATTATCGCCGTTCCCGCACGTCGTGGTAGAAGACCTTCGGTTTCGGATCAATGTCCCTTCACTGCCAAATAGACGTCTCTTCCGTGCATGTTAGATGCCGCTTTACGTCTCTTTCTGTGCGCATCTTATTGAATGTTATTCACATCTTGTCTCTCTCCGCCCGTCCACTTGCTCTATCGTGTGGCATACGCGCAGCGAAGGTCCACGTCAGCCGCGCCGCCATCCAAGAAATTCGGTACGACTGTCTCGTCATCTCCACCCGCTCCCCTCCCCCTTCGATCAACGCCTTCCCCCGCTCCCCTTTCTCCGCCATATGGCGACGTTTCCGCGCCACCAACGCCTTCCCCCGACTCCCCGCCTCCCTCCCCCTCTCGGCGGAAACTGCTGCTTGCGCCCGCGCTGCTGCCGCTGGCGCTGTTGCAAGGAGGCTTTTGCGCGCAGGCAGGCGCGGGAGGTGGGGTGGGGGAAGGCGGGGCTCCCTTAGAAAAAGTGGGGGGAATATGGGGGTAAACCAGGGGAAATTTTGGGTAAGAGCGGGAAGAAGGTTGGGAGTGAGGGGGGTTGAAGGAGAGAGACGCAGGTTATGCAAGCGCGTGTTTTTCCTTTCCTCCGCGCCTCTGCGCAACACATGCATGTCGTGTCCGTCTCAAATGCCATATGCCTTGATGTCACCCGCGCTATCCCCCGTGCAGGCATGGCTGCAGCATCTGCGAAGGCATCAGCGGTGGCAGCAGCAGCGGAGGGGGCAACGGTTGACGCGATAGAGAAGACGCTGCTGATTGTGGGAGCCGGCACACTGGGGACACTCGTGGCGCAGCAGTGGCAGCAGGTGAGATAGAGAGTGAATTTTTCCATTCCCAGCGGCCCCGCTTCAGCATCAGCAGTTGCAGATGCATCGGCATCAGCGTCAGCAGCGGCAGGCGGCAGCAGCAGAGGGGGCATCGGTTGACGCAATAGATAGAAAGACGCTGCTGAATGTGGGTGCCGACACGCTGGGGTCAGTGGTGGCTCAGCAGTGGCAGCAGGTGAGAGGCATGCCCAGCCGCCCACTTCACTGTGCTCTCCTCTCACTCCCGCCAGTCTGCTCTACTCTCCTGTGCTGCGTGCTGCAACAGCTGCTTCACTGCTCATCTTCCCCTTTCCTTCCCGGACCTCTCTGCACCTCGCTCAACCACTCGTCCCTCCCCCTCCCCCCCAGCGCTACCCAAGGGCCAAGGTGTACGGGAAGATGCGGTCAGACAAGTGCCACGAGCTGCTCAGGTAGATGGGGGCCTTACCTCACCACTCTGCTCCTCTCTCCACCGCTCGCCTCTGCCTTCCTCCCCTCCTCAGCGCTACCCAAGGGCCAAGGTGTACGGGCAGACACTGTCGGACAAGCACCACGACACGAGCAGCTCGGGTCCATGGGGTCCTTCCCTCTGCTCACCTCCCTCACGTCTCTGCACCGCTCCATACCTCTCTCTACCGGTCACCTCTCCCTCCCCTCCAGCACTACCCAGACGCCAAGGCGCAGGGGCAGACGCGCTCAGACACACGCCTCACCTCCCTACTCCCCTCTCCACCGTGCTGCTCTCTCCGCTCCCCACTCTCTCTCCCCCACCAGCGCTACCCAGGGGCCAAGGTGTACGGGCAGACGCGGTCAGACACGCGCCACGAGCAGCTGCGGTCCATGGGGGTCTTCCCCATCCTGCGTGACGTCAGCGATGACGCCATCACGGGCGGCGTGCCGTATGTCATCTTCTGTGCACCGCCGGGTGGCAGTCAGGACTACGAGGGCGACGTGAGGTGAGATGCAGACACCCCTTCTTCCCTCTTCTCATTTTGCATCTCCTCCCCTCTCCATTTCTTCTGCGCGCTGCCGGGCGGCAGTCAGGACTACGAGGGCGATGTGAGGTGAGATGCAGTCATTACTTTTTTTGAGGCGCCTCAAATATAGTCAGGATTACGAGGGTGATGTGAGGTGAGGTGCAGTCATTACTTTTGAGAATGCTCAAAAGTAAAATCTGCGCCCCACCGGGCGGCAGTCAGGACTATGAGGGCGACGTGAGGTGAGATGCAGACACTTTCTTTCACTCTACTCCCTTCTCCTCTCCCTCCTCTCCTCTTACACCCTCATCTTCTGCGCGCCACCGGGCGGCAGTCAAGACTATGAGGGTGATGTGAGGTGAGGCGCAGACACCTCTTCTTCCTTCTTCTCATTTTGCATTTCCTCCCCTCTCCATTTCTTCTAGCCCAACTGGTCTCTCCTCGTCCTCCTATTCTCCTCGTGCCTCACCTCCCGCAGCACCTTCCCCGTAATCATCCCCCTTTCTCTTCCCCCTGTTCCCTGTTCTCAAGATAGCTGCCTCATGCCTTCTCGCCCCTTACATCTGCCTCATTTCCAACCCCGTTACCCACTTCCCCAATGGCAGGGCAGCAGCGTCCCTATGGAACGGCACGGGAGCATTCCTCTTCACCTCCAGCAGCGCCATCTACGCCGTCTCTGACAACTCCTTCTGCCCCGAGGGCGCTCCCACCGTGCCGCTCGGTGCCAGTCCCCGCGTCGACGTGCTGCTAAAAGCCGAAGGCGCCGCCCTGGAGGCGGGCGGTAACGTGGTGCGGCTGGCGGGGCTGTACACTCTCGAGAGGGGCGCGCACACGTACTGGCTGCGACAGGGCACGGTGGATCAACGGCCAGATCACATCCTCAACCTCATCAGCTACGAGGTGTGTGGCAGCCATATCATTCCCCCCTCAGATACGGCTCAATTCTGAACCGCTGCCTCTTGCACACAGCCTCCTGCCCCCTGCCAGTATACCCACCTTTTCCCCTACCCCCTGCGTCTTGCTTGATTCCCTTTGCTCCACACCCCTGTGGCCAAGCAGGACGCGGCATCACTGTGTGCGGCCATTCTAGCAGCGCGGCCACGAGGGCAGATCTTCATGGGTTGCGACAACCACCCTCTCTCCAGGTCAGTGCCTCTCACCACCATCTTTGCACCTGCCTCAAAAATCGCTCGCGAGGGCAAATCGTCGCGGGATGGGATAAGATAAGATAACAACAACCATTCTTCCTGCTCTGTGCCCCTCCGCAGCATCTTCTTTCGCCCGTCAGCCCCCCAACCAGGTCCCATGTCATACAAATGATTTGGCTAGTGCTGCCCAACATGTCCCTTGTCTCACAAATCATCAGGCAAGAGCTGATGGATCTGACAGTGAGGAGCGGCCGGTCGAGGGCGACTTGAAGGGCTTCACAGGCTCAGAGGGACCGCTGAACCATGTGCTGTTCTCCATGCCCATGCACCACCTGCCACCCCCCAAACTTGCAGGCAAGAGCTGATGGATCTGACGGTGAGGAGTGGCCGGTTTGAGGGCGACTTCAAGGGCTTCACAGGCACGGAGGGGCCGCTGGGCAAGCGCATGTGCAACGATGCCACACGAGCTGCCCTACGATGGGAGCCCACCCACAAGAGCTTCGCCCATTTCCTTGGCCTAGAGTCTTAGAGTTGAATAGGGAGACTATAGAGATGAGGCATTCCCTAGGGTCTGCGACTCTCACCTTTGCGCTGCTTGGCAAGCGCATGTGCAACGATGCCACACGGGCTGCACTGGGATGGAAGCCCACTCACAAGAGCTTTGCTCACTTCCTTGTCCTTGAGTCGTAGAGTCGAGACCAGGCCCTCAGATTCGTTTTCAAGCTGTCTGATTCATCAGACTTAGTGCACATTTTTAGTCTGATCAATCAGACTTGATACCAAAAAAAAAGTCTGAAATTTCAGAGTTCAAACATACAAAAGTCTGATAGAGCAAAGTTCACATAGTAGTGAAGCTTACCGATCAGCCTAAAACGA